ACTCCTCTGGAAGAGCACAGTGCTCTTAAAGGCTGAGCCATCTCTCAAGCCCTCTGTTTCGTGATTTGTAAAGCTGAGCACCCAAAATTATACTTTCCACAATCATTTTCTATAGTTCATTAAAACTGAGTATTGGACAAGTTCAGTAATTCATACCGGCCGGATGCTAGTCTTGCTGGCATCTGGGGCTGACATCAGTTCAGCACTCTGCCTGTCATTCCTAATGGTATACTGTAATTATATTTCATCAAGAGGAAAGATGGGATAATTAACAAGTGATTATTTTCTGGGAACCTACTAGTAGCTCAGGATGTGGAACAGCCCGTAGCCCTGTGGTATTATTGATTCTTAACAGAGTCCACATTGCTACATATTCAACACTATCTTCTTTGGGCGTCAACACTATGATACAGAAGTTATACACACTCCAATGCTGTGGAATAATCCTTCTGTACACTGTGAATATGTTGGCCGAGCATTTGTAATTAATATAAGCTGCCGTGTGTTTACTATGTTAAATAAAGACCCTTCAAGGTGGGCATGATTATGTAATTGAAACCTGTAATGCCTGTTCTGGACAGTGAAAAAGAGAGGCGGTCAGCTGACTAGATGGCATCGCCCTCGGTCTTAAACTGAAGATGCAAAGAAGTGCTGTGAGATAGTTGAGTTGTGTGAAGATGTGCTGCTGTGATTGGTGTAATAAAAAGCCAAGTGGCCAATAGCTAGGCAGGAGAGGTAGGCAGGACCTAAGTGTTCTCAGTTATTTGAGTTTCTTCTATTGCGAATTCTCTGTCTAGATTTGTAGCCATCTGTTTATTTATATTTGGTTTTTCGAGACAAGGTTTCTCTGTGTAGGCATGGTGTGGTGACATACACCTTTAATCCCAGCATTCTGGAGACAGAAGCAGGGGTGTCTGTGTTTGAGGACAGTTTGGTCTACACAGTGAACTCTAGGTCAGCTAGGATCACATACTGAGACCATGTCAAAAAACAAACAAAAAAAATAAAGAACTAAAGTGTTGTCATGCTTACTATGTACCTGGTGTTATTATTTTTTATTCCTTTTCTAAATTTATTAGTTTAATATGTATACAATGTTCTGCTTCCATGTATGATTGCACACCAGAAGAGAGCATCAGATCTCATTACAGATGGTTATGAGCCATCATGTGGTTTCTGATAATTGAACTCAGGACCTTTGGAAGAGCAGCCAGTGCTCTTAACCTCTGAGCCATCTCTCCAGTCCCATACCTGATATTATTTTAATATCATTGAAAATTTACAACCACTGGCCGTGCAGACATGGCACACGCCTTTAATCCAGCACTCGGGAAACAGAGGAGGAGGATCTCTGTGAGTTCAAGGCCAGCCTGGTCTACAGAGTGAGTTCCAGGTTAGGCCCAAAACTATACCCTGTCTTGAAAAAATTTACAACTATCAAATGACTTAGATACCATGATTTTCCCTGTCTCACAGATGAACTGATGTTCGGGGAAGCTAAGTGTTTTAACCAAGGTTACATGAGTGGCAAGTGGAAAAGCCACCCTAGTTTAGACACTGAGTTTTTGTTTGTATATTAAATGGATGCTTGTTCTGTAACCTGTCTCAGCCTTGAACCCCCAATCCTTCTGCCTTTTTTCCTGAATGTTGGGATTATGGACCGGTGTCACTGTGTGTAGCTCAAATTCTAGTTGTATTATTAATAAGAACCCTGAGTCAGATATAGGGGTTCATGCTGGAAGATCAGAGAAGCAAAATGGCCAACCACTGGAGAATTCTTACCTCTACCAATGCTCAGACGAAAGGGGCGATCCTGCATCGGTTCTGCCGCTCAGATTGACTGCCTCAGACTGCATCTGTCTCCACCTAACCTCAGATTGCATTGAGTTCCTGTTTCCTTCCACTTTGTATTCCTCTCTATGCCCAGCCATATCACTCCTGTCTCCACCTCCCTAGTGCTGGGATCTCAAGGGCTAGCTTATCTTTGAGTGAACTCTGTTTCTCTTTTAGACAGAGTCAATCTCGTGTAGGCCAGGGTGGCCTTAAACTAACAGACATTCCTCTGCCTCTGTCTCCCGGGTCCTGGGATTAAAGGTGTGTGCCACCACCGCCTGCCCTTAGTGGCTTAGCTTTGCACTCTGATCTTCAGGCAGGCTTTATTTGTTAAAATACAAAGTATCACTACAACCATGGCTGTCAAAACTGAGTTCTTTGTTACTGTTTCTGTGGGTGAATGTAGGCACACACTTCACTGTTTGAATGTGGAGGTCAGAAGACAACTTTCTAGGATTGGTTCTCTCCTTCCACTTGCCCAGAGCAGGGTCTCTCTTGCTATTCCTGTTAAACAGTATACTCCATGACAGCTGGTTCATGAGCTAGGGATGAAGGGACAATGTATGAATGCTCAGATTATAGATGAGCACCATTAATACAGCTTTTTAAAAATTACTTAGGTCACCAGGTTTAGATGAGAATGCTTTTATCCACTGAGCCATCTTGCAGACCAAAACTGATTTCTTTTGTTTGCTTGCTTTTGGCAAGCAAAAAACCCAGGATAACCAAAACAATCCTGGGCAATAAAAGAACTTCTGGAGGCATCACAATCCCTGACTTCAAACTCTACTACAGAGCTACAGTACTGAAAACAGCCTGGTACTGGCATAAAAACAGACAGGAGGACCAATGGAACCCAATAGAAGACCCGAATATCAATCCACACATCTTCGAACACCTGATCTTTGATAAAGAAGCAAAAAAATGGCAAATGGAAAAAAGAAAGGTATTTAACAAGTGGTGCTGGCATAACTGGATATTAACATGTAGAAGAATGAAAATAGACACATACATATCACCATGCACAAAACTCATGTCCAAATCGATCAGAGACCTCAACATAAAGCTAGCCACACTGAACCTTATAGAAAAGAAAGTGGGAAGTACACTTGAACGCATTGGCACAGGAAACCACTTCCTAAATATAACCCCATCAACACAGACACTGAGAGAAACAATTAATAAATGGGACCTCCTGAAACTGAAAAGCTTCTGTAAGACAAAGGACATAGTCAACAAGACAAAATGACAGCCTACAGAATGGGAAAACATCTTCACTAACCTCACATCAGACAGAGGTCTGATATCCAAAATATACAAAGAACTCAAGAAATTGGACACCAAAAGATCACATAATCCAATTTTTAAAAATGGAGTACAGACCTAAACAGAGAACTCTCAACAGAGGAATCTAAAATGGCTGAAAGACACTTAAGGAAATGCTCAACATCCTTAGTCATCAGAGAAATTCAAAATCAAAACAACTTTGAGATTCCATCTTACACCTGTAAGAATGGCCAAGATCAAAAACACTGATGACAACTTACACTGGAGAGGTTGTGGGGAAAAGGGAACACTTCTGCATTGCTGGAGGAAATGCAAGCTGGTACAACCCCTTTGGATGTCAGTGTGACAATTTCTCAGAAAATTAGGAAACAGTCATCCTCAAGACCCATTAATAACTCTTTTGGGTATATAGCCAAAGAATGCTCAATCGTGCCACAAGGATATGTGCTCAACTATGTTCATAGCAGCTTTGTTTGTCATAACCAGAACCTGGAAACAACCTAAATGCCCCTCGATTGAAGAATGGATAAGAAAAATGTGGTACATTTACACAAAGGAGTACTATACAGCAGAAAAAAATGACATCTTGAATTTTGCAGGAAAATGGATGGAGCTAGAAAACATTATTTTGAGTGAAATAACCCAAACACAGAAAGACAATTATCACATGTACTCACTCATAGGTGATTTTTTAAACATAAAGCAAAGAAAGCCAGCCTACAAACCACATCCCAGAGAACTTAGGCAACAATGCGAACACCAAGAGATACTTACATAGATCTAATCTACATGGGAAGTAGAAAGTAGAAAAAGACAAGATCTCCTGAGTAAATTGGGAGCATGGGGACCTTGTGTGAGGGTTGAAGGGGGAAGGGGAGAGACAGGGAGGGGAGCAGAGAAAAATGTAGAGTTCAATAAATATCAATAAAAAATAAAAATAAAAAGTTTTCACTCCATTGGTCTCCACCCACAAGGAAAAAAATATTTGTGCTATGTGCCTCAGAATTCTTGAGTAATTCTGAGGTGTGTCCAATCATTTAGAGACGTTTTTCATTTAAATTAAGCCGTAGACATTCTCACCTATCCCAGGCTAGCCTAAATCAGCATAGCTGAGGATGATCTTAACGTGATGGTGTTATGCAGTGCTGGGAATTGCACCCAGGGCTTCTGGGGCACCAACAAGCACTTCACTAATAGAGATACATTCTTTGATTCACTCATTTCTTTTCTGAGACAGGTTTCAGCATGAAACAAAGACTGACCTGAAACTTCTAACATTCCTGTCTCAGTCACCAAAGTGCAATACTAAGTGCAATGTTACAGAAACAGAAAAAATGTTTGTTTTGTCTTTCATTTTGTAAAATTAAATTATTGCATTTCTGCAGTATTTCAGTTTGGGGCATGTATGAGCATCCGTGTGATTAGATATGTCTTCATACACTCATCTATGTTTTTAGGTGTACAAATAGACGTCTCTGACTTTGAAAGATTGCTATTCTAAAATGTCTACACTTACCACACCAAAACACATTAACTCATTAGGCTTAATGCCCGCAAGAACTTCACCAAGTGTACTTAGATCCTAAGGTCAAAATTATTTTCATTTATTTCCCCTTTGTATCCTAGGAAAACGAGCATCGTATGTCATGCTTCCTTACAATGCCAGGATGCTATTTCTGAAGGCCTACCAGGTGGACTAACAAGATCCCTAAATGGACCCAAAAGAAGAACAAACAGCACAGGACCAGAAAGCCACGTAGTGGTTGCTCTAGGGCAGACCTCGCAGGAAATCTCGCGGGAGAGCGTCTCGTTACTCCAGTTCCGGTCTCCGCCCACCGGCACTCTACCGCTTCCTCCGCTGCTAGGGCGGGCCGGAACTTTTGTCAGCAGGAACCGGTGTACGCAGCTCAGTGTTGTCGGCCGGCGTCTAGGCGACGAGGGTGCTAGTCTCTTCCTTCGGCTGCGGTCGCTGTGGAGCTCAGCCCGGCCAGTCTGGTTGAGGTGCTCGGCCGCCTGGACTGGGTCTATGGTCGCTCCGTGGGCCGCTCTGCCGGCTGGTGCTTTTGTAGCAGGGCAAGCAGAGGTCCATGGCAGGGAACTTCTGGCAGAGCTCCCACTAGTGAGTGAGCTTCCATTTTTCTCGCGCGGTACCGGTTCTGGGGCACCGGGAGGACTGGGCCTGCGGCTCCCTCGGGGCTTCCATCCTGGCGGCTCTTGGAGAGTGGGTGAGCCCTCCTCGAGAAGCTGGGGGTCCGAAGCCTACTGTGCTTGCTTGCCGGCCACCCCCTTTGGAGCGAATTTCGGGAGCCATGGGCGGCTGCGGGGGGTGGGGGTATGAGACTAGGTAAGAGGACCGATCTCCGAAGGAAGATTTTGAACTGAATGGGATGATGTGGGCACAGGCACATTGTAGCGTTGTGAGATTGCCTGTTCCGGACAGGTATAGATAGCTTCCTTTTGCTAGCCTTTGTTGAGAGAAACGATATTATAATCTCTTGTCATTCGTCTTACTCGAAGATTTAATATTTATTTACTCAGAGGAGAGGAAAGAGTCGTCCTTGATTTTTATCTGCTGCTTCCTGACTCTCCTTTATGCTTAGGTTGTCGATCCGTTTGTTGTCCGCCGCCGTCCGCGTATTCTGCGGCCCCCCCCCCCATGCCAGGGTTTCTGTGTAGCCCTAGCTAGCAGTCCTGGAACTCGCTCTGTAGAGCAGACTGGCCTCGAGCTCAGAATCCCAAGGCCTGGGATTGAAGGAGTGTGCTCCCACTTCCCGGCTTCTAGATTGATGTTTGTGCCCCTAGAATGTAGCAGGTGCTATATAAAATGTAGCGCAGGTTCTCTCAAAAATGTATCCGTTTTCATTCATTAGCCAGTGTCTTTAATTTTGCCTTAAAAGTGTGTATTCTCCAGATTTTTATCTCTTCCTTTAACCATTTAAATGAATGGTGGTGTCTGTCAGTGAGCATAGAAGGACTAAAGTAATATCTGAAACATTTATCACTAAATGCATTTGTTAAACATGCAGGAAGTTGTGTGATTGGGTCAAGCTTTGAGCAGGTTTTCCACTGAATACTTAAAAACTCAATGGGACTTGATAGAAGACAGCTTAGTTTAGCAAATTTTATGGTAAAGAGAATGACAAAATTTTAGTTCTGTGAATTGGATTGGCTCCTTTTCCTCTTTGCCAAGAACAGGAAAGAAGACAGTGAGTTTGGAAACCTATTTCTGGAAAGCATGTTTTCCGTTGCTACAAAGTGATTCTAGGGAGATAAAACCGCTCATGAAACATCACTGTGGGCCATGTTATTTTCATTGTTTTCACTCACTGAGATATTTTAGTTGAAATACAGAAGGAGACTCAAAAAAGTGAGGTTGAGTTTGAGCCTGTAATTCTGGTTACTCAGATACTGCCTTGATTATCTGAGTGATGTAATTCTGAAACGGACAGTAAGTCTTTGGATATAGTAAGAGTCTGTCTTTGAGGAAGGGCCTTACTATAAAGGGTCTGAGAACCTGTGTGCGGTGCTTTGTACATATGACAGTATGGAGGAAATCCAGAAAGAGGTAGAGAGTCTTTGAAAAAACATCAAGAGTTCTTTTGTTTTGTTTTTCAAGACAGGGTTTCTCTGTGTAACAGCTCTGACTGTCCTGGAACTCGCAGAGATCTGCCAACCTCTGCTGGGATTAAAGCTGATTCTTTACTCTCAAGTTCTCCTGTTTTTCCTCAAATGACCTTGCTGAGACTGTAGGTGGGCTGCTGAAAAGCTAGAGAAATCAGATGAATAACTTCCATTAGAGTTTAAAATGGCATCCATAGCATCCTTATTTACTATTGGCCAGACCTAACGGGAGTCAAACACAACAGATTGGCACAGAGTTGTTTGAAAATAATCAGCAAAGCAGTCATAAGTAGCGTCAAAAACCAAAGGGTTTTAAAATTGGTTTACGAACAAGACTGTGAAACTTTAGGGGTGACAATGAAAATGCTAGCTGAAAAATATTTCCTTAGAAAAAATGTTTAATCTTCTCTGAGGCAGAATGTGCTTGAAACAGGTGAGCATGTTTTGAAGAACTCAAGCCTCTCACTGTTGAATCAAGTTTACTCAATATTTTAGAGACCTGTTTAGAAGAATGAATGTTGAGGCTATCATGTATGTATGTTTCAGAAGTAGGCTAGTGCTCTGTCTACCTCTGAGCTACATTCCTAGCCAGACCTGTCTTTTCTGAAGGATATACCTTCAAAAAGAAGAGAGGAAAAGCTGGGTGTGGTGCTGCATGCCTTTTATCCTAGCAGTGGTGGCTGAGGTGTGGGTTAGGGATGTCATTGGCAGGAAGATCTCTGAGTTTGAAACCAGGCTGGTCTATAGGGTGAGTTCCAGGACAGCTATGGCTACACAGAGAAACCCTGTCTCAGAGAGAAAGCGGGGTGGGGGGGAGTGGAATATATTTCTTAGAATATGATTAATGTATTAAATCTTACTATTACAGGTACTTTTGCTTGTTGACTTTCTATACCATGTATTAACATCTTTACTTTTTCTAGTTTGCAGTGGATTTTGGATAAACAAGATCTGTTAAAAGAGCGCCAGAAGGACTTAAAGTTTCTCTCAGAAGAAGAATATTGGAAGTTACAAATATTTTTTACAAATGGTAAACTTTAAATTGGTTAAAATGGTATAGTATAGCTGGTCACCTTTGAAACTCTTATGTGGTAATTTTCAATGGATTATTACAGAATAGTTAATGCTTTTAACTACATTTATTGTTATACTGATCTGGGTAACACTAGGCACCTTATGTGTCAGAAGCACAGTTTTAGCCAATCTCAGGCATTTCTACTGCTGTCCCTTTTAAGGTTGACTAAAACAAAGTAAAGATAAATGATTCTCTAAACTGATATCCTATAGTTGTCATTTTTACCTTATAACTTCACATTAGCAAGAAGGGGATTTAGTCAAGATGCCTTTACTGTACTAGGATAGCTTTGTTGCCTGGTATTTTAAAAAATAAATTATATTTGTTTTATGTGTTTGAGTATTTTGCCTGCGTGTGTTTATGTACACTATATGTTGTGCCTGGTGCTGAGGAGGTTTGGATCCCTAGGGGCTGGAGTTACAAATGGTTGTAAACCTCCATGTGGGTGCTGGGAATAGAACTCGAGTCTTCTGCAACAGCAGGTAGTGATCTCAATGCCTGAGCCATCTCTCAGTCCTCTCACCATGACCTTTAACTCTGTCACTTTCTGCAAATCTACCTTTCTCTTGTATAGAAGAGTAACTTCTTATAAACTATGGATTTCTTGGTAAATAACAATATCTAGTTTAATTTTTAAAACTTTTTATATAATGCGAAAAAACATTAAAATGCATAGAAAAAGAAGAATATTTGCTACTCGACCTCCTTATTGCAAGATAGCTTGTAGGCAATTTCTTTGTCTTGTTTATGCATATTGCTGTTTTGCAAGTCTTAAGCAACTGTGGTTCAGAAAGTGTCAGAAGACCAGATGTAGTGGCTCGCTCCACTAATCCTGCACTGGGAGGCAGAGCTCTGAGTTCAAGGCCACTCTAGTCTTTTAAGAAAAAAAAGAAAAGAAAAAGAAAGAAAAAAAAAAAAACAGGGTGTCAGAGAGTACATAGGTTGAGTGGACAGAATTCTAAGATATAGAAATTTTTGTTAGATGTTAATGTTATTATAATGCCAGATGATACATTTGGATTTTATTATTTCCCTTTTAGTTATCCAAGCATTAGGTGAACATCTTAAATTAAGACAACAGGTTATTGCTACTGCTACAGTCTATTTCAAGAGATTCTATGCAAGGTATGGCTTTTATTTGTTTGTTTGTTCGTTCTTGTTAGCCTGTTTGAAATCACTAAGCCGGGAGGTGGTGGCGCACGCCTTTAATCCCAGCACTCGGGTGGCAGAGGCAGGCGGATCTCTGTGAGTTTGAGACCAGCCTGGTCCACAAGAGTTAGTTTCAGGACAGGCTCCAAAGCCACAGAGAAACCCTGTCTCGAAAAAAAAAAATTATCATCTAATTCCCAAATGCCACATATAAGTACGTCACTTGTTTGCTATAGAGTTATGGTTCCCTGCTCCCCTATTTCCCAGTGTGTATTTTTTAAGTGGACATTATTTAATTCTTGTCTAATTATGTTTTAGGTATTCTCTGAAAAGTATAGATCCTGTATTAATGGCTCCTACATGTGTGTTTCTGGCATCCAAAGTAGAGGTATAAAACAATTTTTGTTCTTCATCAGAGTATAATTCTTACGTATGTCTGTTTTATATTGCCTTTGTATAGATAATTGTAGGAAATAATTTATACAAGAAAATATACACATATTTATTAAATATGGCACTTATATCATCAGGTGCTTTATAAGTTTTTATTTAATCCTATAACAGTGGCATATACAGCTAGTATCTCTGTAGGGTAAAAGGGCCTTGACCTTGACTTGAAATGAGACTGAAGCCAGGGAAAAAGCACTCTGCCCCTGACTTGGTCCCAAGCCTGAGACCAAGAAAAAGAATCTTGGAAATCTCTGCTCCCTGAGAAACTCTATATGAAGCCTGCCTTCTACTCAGTTTCCTGCTGCTTCTCATCCAAGCAGGCAGCCACTTTCCTGGGTTCTTCTCTCCCAGTAAATCTCTTATGTAAGGTTTGTTGTGCGATGTGACTTTGTGGTATGCCTGGACTCCCAACTGCCAGGATGCCTTCCCAGGAGAGATGCAGCACTTTCATAGGGGAAGCCTTTCTTTTCAGAGCCTTAACACTTGCTTTGGGGAAATCTTCCCCCTTAGCTGCCAGTGCTCCATCAGGTAAGCATTTCCCCTCAGAGCTGCAGTACCTCCAATGGGCAAGCTTTTCCCTTCAGAACTGTAATATTCTGGTATTATTTGGTAGGAAAGCCTTTCCCCTCAGAGCTATAGCACTTACAATCCCCATGTTATATATAAGACATAGAGAGAGCAGCAGTCATCCACTAGTCAGTGGCAGAGCCAGTACTCTGGTACTAATAGTCTGGTTCTTATGACTTCATCGCTTTGCTACCTTTGAAGTATATTGTTTGGCTGACTGTGGTCAGCTTTAATCCCAGCACCTAGGGGCAGAGGCAGGTTTGTTCTCTGAATTTAAGGCCAGTCTGACCTAATAGTGAGTTCCAAGTTCCAAGACAGCTAGGGCTACATAGTGAGACCCTATCTCAAAGCAACAACAAAAAGACATTGTTTGGTGCTAAGTACCACAACTTACCTGCTATAACCTAAGAGTGTCTCTGCTCCTCTCCCATGTGCTTTTTCTTTATTCCTGTCTTCTCTGGTAACAAGCAATAGAGGGAAAGTGAAGGGGTAGGCAAGGATTAGGAAAGAATATATATATATAGACTCTAACAAGGAAGAGTGTGGGTAGTGGGAGTAATTAAGAGAGAAGACAAATAAGGACTTGGCTGGAATTCTGCCCTACTACTTTTTCAGTGTTGTTGAGAAAGTTCCTCTTTCAGCTGTAACCCAAATAGCAGATTCTGAGAACTATATTTCTTTACTGATCCACACAATCTTTAATCTGTTGTTTCTATTCGTGGTAAAGTTTTTAGAATAATAATTATATTCATGTGAATTGAATGTGATTTTAACCTAGTAAGTTTACATTCCTTTTGTGTTCATTTTTATTTAGAAGCATCCATGGCATCTTTTAAAATTATCTCCCAAGAAGTACTAAAATCCTTCATACGAGCTTTTGTTCACTCTGTTCATGGGTTTTGAGATAAAATTTGAATAAATCTAACTATGGAAGGCAGTTGTAGAGTGCTTGCCTAGCATCCATGAGGTCTGGTTTCAGTCTTTACGGCCAGATTTGTGAAGGGTTTTTTTGGAATAAAGAGATGTTGTAGATGAGGTATATTTTCAGGTTTAGTTGTTGAATTGATTTTTTTTTCTTAAAAATCGTTTTCATACACTATATCTTGATTCTGTCTTTCCCTCCCCCAACTTCTCCCAGATCCTCTTCCCTTCCCACCCAATTTAGTGTTCTTTTTCTCTCTCTCAAACAAAATAACATGAAACCAAAAACATAAAAATCAAAACAAACCAAAATGCAGAAAGAAATGGAAAGCAAAAAGTAAAACAGTAACAAAAACTATGGCGTTCATTTTGTTGGCCAACTACCCCTGGGCATAGGGCCTGCTCTAGTGTGGTTAACATGCCCAGTGTCACTGGAGAAAACTGACTTTCCCTCTCCCAGCAGGTATCAACTGCAGATGGCTTCTTCATTCTCCCTCTCAGTGTATTGAATTACATTTTATCTCTAACTATGACCAAATTTCTGTTTTGTCTAATTGAATAGAAATTGTGTACAAATCATATTTAACATACTGTCTCTAGTTTTTATTTCTACATATTAGGGTTTGGAGTTTAATTATAAATAAATATATATATATATATATACACACACACACACACACACACACATAGATTAGGTTATAGAGTTCAGATTATTCCCCCACCATACCCCTGGTTTTTTGAGACAGGGTTTCTCTGTGTAGTAGTCCTGGCTGTCCTGGAACTAGCTTTGTAGACTGGCCTCAAACTCATAGAGATCTGCCTGCCTCTACCTCCCAAGTGCTGGGATTAAAGGCATATGCCACCATCGCCTGACTAGATTGCAGATTTTTAATTGAACGTATTTAAATAGTTTTTAATTTGTTAAATAAAGAACCAATTCTTTTCCGACTTTAAAAGGAAACAGATGATTTAGATCTTGAGTGATTTATATGAAATTAAATAAGAGTATATTTAAAGTACATTACATGATAAAATTTAGTTATTTTATAGTGGTAGTAGTATATTAAGTTGAAAAGGGAATAACTTACCTAAGAAGCCTTTGTATTCCATTATAAGATTCATTTTTTCAGAAAGGTTGGTGTTTATATGGTCTTCTGAGTAATACCTCATTTGTTTGTTCATTGACTGGTTGGTTGATTAATTGTACTAAGAATTGAATACAGGCAGGCCTTACACATTCTTGGCAAGCTAGCAGTATATTTCTGAGCTATATCTCCAACTCAAATTAATTGAAATTTTAAGGAAAGGTAAGACATTTAGAAATTTAAATTCTTCGTGGATTAAGTAGGAAGAAACTGAGCAGACTGAACATGAGAAGAGCTTGGAAAAACTGTTTTGAGTAGATCTCAGGTACCTTTAATGTTTATTGGGTTAGTAAGTACTTGATCTCATTCACTTTTCTCTAGGAATTTGGTGTAGTCTCAAATACAAGATTGATCGCTGCTACTACTTCTGTATGTAAGTGCAAAAAGTGTATTCTGCTTTAAGGCTGAAATTTAAAGAAAGCTCTGTAACATACAAATTTTTTTTTTATGAGCCACATATACGTAAGTTTATTACACAACTCCAAGGAATATTCTTAGCATATTAGACAGGAAAAAATGCTTTAAAAGATGTTTTTACTGATGTAGTGGTGCAGACCTGTGATCTCAGTGCTTCGGAGGTGGAAGTAAAAGATTAGGAGTTCAAGGCGTGCCTCACCGACATAGTGATTATTGGGCCACATGAGACTATCTCTAAAAAACCAGGGTTTTTGTTTGTTTGTTTGTTTAAGTTTATTTTTGTTTTATGTTCATTGGTGTTTTGCCTGCATGTATGTCTATGTGAGGATGTCACAAGCCCTGGATCTGGAGCTAAAGACAGGTGTGAGCTGCCATGTCGGTGCTAGCAATTTAACCTAGGTCCTCTGTAAGAGTAAGCAGTGCTCTTAACTGCTGAGCTATCTCTCCAGCCCTGAAATTTCTTCTCAATTTATTTCTACTATTTTATATGTATGAGTGTCTTGCCTACATGTATATCTGTGCACCTCATTTGTGCATGGTGCCCGAGGAGGTGGTGAGCCTCCTTGTGGATGCTGGGATTTGAACCCAGGTCTTAGGCAACAACAAGAAATTCTCTTCATCACTGACAGCTATCAAGCCTCAAAAACAAGTTTTTACATTCATTATGATACTACTTTTTTTTTTTTGAGATCAAATCTCATCTGAAACTTGGGCTCCTCCAGCTTCTACTTACCAAGAAGGATTATTAATTTCCTGTTGAGATTATAGGTGTGGGCCACCATGCCTAGTTTAAGACAATACTTTTCGGTGGTGAAAAATGAGCTGTATTGATGGGAATTATGTATTTTCAAACCTTCAAGTTGTGCGGTACAGAAAAGAATGCTGACTGTATAGTCAGTCAGCTGAGTTAATTTTTGTTTTTTTGGCATTTTGAGATAGGATGTCACTATATAGCCCTGGTTGTCCTGGAACTCACAGAGATCTGCCTCCTGAATGCTGGGATTAAATTGAATTAAAATTAAATTAAACTTTTATCATTATGTCCAGCAACTCCTGTGTTTTTAAAGCATTCTTTTTAATTATGTGTAGGTATGTGTTTGCATGTGGGCAAATGCATGTGAGTATAGGTGCCCAAAGAGGCCCAAGGCATCAGTCCCCTGCAGCTAAATTTTCGTGTGTGTGTGTATGTGTGTGTGGTTTGTATGTGGTGGGCATATGTACTTGTATATGTGCATACATGTCAAGACCTGAGGTTGGTGTATAGAATCATCCTTCGTTTCTCTTGTACCTTATTTGTTGAGGCAGGGTCTCTCAATTAAACCCAGAGCTTGCCAATATGACTAGTCTTGTCAGTAGCCAGCTTGCTCTGAGGGAACTCCTGTCCCTGCTTTCTGAGGCTGAATCAGAGACGGACTGCCACACATGTAATTTATGTGTCTGGGGATCCAGACTATGGTTTCCTCATGCTTGTAGCACTTCAACTGCTGAAACATCTTCCTAGACCACTTCTTAGGCTGAAGGGTAAAAGTAGGTTGTAAAAGTTTAATAAAACCATACATATGTCACCTTAATGATGCTTTGAATTTTTTTATGGAAACATTTAATCTATTTTCTCATCTGCAAGGTTAGAGTTATTATGAAGTTAAAATCAGTTAATATGTACAGCATGTTGAACAATGCCTTGCTATTTCTTTTCTAGGATTATTATAACAAAATATCAGATTGGATATTTAAATAGAAAGGTATTTTCTAAGTTCTAGAGTCTGAAGGTCCAAAAATCAGGGCACCAGCAAGTTTGGTTTCTCTGTGGCCTCCTTTAGTTGTTATGGCTGTTCTTTCATTGCCCTTTGTGTACCTGCATCATTCCTTCCCTTTGTTTTTTAAACTTTGTTTATTTTATACATATATGTATCTTGCCTTCATGTATGCCATGCTGGTGCTGTGGAGATCAAAAAAGGACTATTGTAGCCCTGAAACTGGAGTGATAGATGTAAATAGTGGTGGCCATGTGGATACTAGGAACCAAACCTGAGTCCCCCGCAAGAGCAGAGTGTTCTTAACCACTCACCCATCTTTCTAGCTATCTCCCATGGATCTTCAACATCATGTTAAAACAGCAGTAGTCGTGTGTGGTGACACACGCCTTTAGTCCCAGCACTTGGGAGACAGAGGCGGGCAGATCTTTGCGAGTTTGAGGCATCCTGGTCTACATAGTGAGTTCCAGGACAGCTGGAACTACATAGTGAGACCCTGTCTTGGGTGGGGCAGCAGTTGGACATTCTGTTGATGTGAAGAATATTGAGTGAGGCAGTTCTTTTGTAGATGGTGCTGGCTTTGTTTGTTTTGTTTCTGAAGCAGCTTTAAAGGAAGGATTCACTTTGACTCACAGCTTTAGTTTTCTGCTTGTGGTTTGTTGCTTCCATCACTTTTGGCCTCTGGCGAGGCAGAAGCATCACAGTGAAAGGGTGTGGTAGAGGAGAAGTGCTCCTTCATGATGACCAAGAAGCAGAGAGGGTGAACGAGATCGTAGCAGATATTACCCAAATTAGTTGTAGAGAACTTCATTTATAAAATAACTTTTTTGAAAATTTAGTATATAAAATACACAGAATTCCTTATTTTGAATGAAGGAAATCATTTGTACCAATGGAAGGAATTATAAACCAGAGTTGCTGGAGCTTCCAGTTGCTACCCTAATTGGTTTAAGTATGTATTCTAATGTCTTGAATACTATTTTCTCAATAGTACTTAAGTATATGTAGTTCATGACTTCTTGAGGAGATAGTTAACAGAGGTTTTCCATTTGTACTTTATTAGTGAGTACAAATGGTAGCTGTGCTGTGTAAGAAAATAACTTACATGGATCATTATGCGGCAGAGCTCTATTACGCTGAGGCCTGCCTAGCCTACATAGCCTACATAGACTAGCCAAGACTACATGATGATGCCTTGTCTCAAAAAATAAAAAAACTAACAATCAATGAAAGCATTTATGTGCTTCTTTATAAATAAATACATTTACATATTTATGTCTTTTGGTAAAGAAACACTTATAAGTTCAGAAAGTACCAATTAGTTAAAAAAAAATTCCTTTAGTCTCAGATAATCACAGCTAATTTTGGTATATTGCCCTAACTTTTTTCTCACCTTGATTTTTTTAGAAGTTGCTGTATAAGTGTATTTATTCTAAGATAAATTACAGGCAAACAGAAAAATACCACTCTAGAGAAAAGATTTTAGAGATGATAGAATCTAGTGATTTTTTTTTCAGTCTTTTAATCTTTTAAAAAGCAGTAAAAGCTTTTTCCTTTTTTCCTCCTTTCCCTTCCCCTCTTTCCTTTTCCTTTACCTTTCCAGTCTTCTTGCCTATACTCCCGAGTACTGAGAGTGCAGGCACATGGTACCATTCCAGCATGAACTTTATATTCATAAAATATATAAATATTCATAATATTCTCATAAAATATTTATATATTTATAACATAAATATATTTTATAATATATTAATTAAATATAATATAAATATAATATATTTATAATTATAAATATATATATATATAATATATAATTATAGCTCTCCAATTGTATAGGCAAGGGTGCTTCCAACCGCTCAATCATTGTGCTCCCTGGAAACAAAGCTCTATCTTTTAAGTAGTTCTGAGATCTCCTACTGAAGGTAATAAATACAGCATACTGTCTAAGATTTTATGCTTCATTAAAGGAATTTTGGATAAATTGGTGTTGGCATTTTCTTGGTTTTAATTGTTTTGTTTTGTTTCTTATAGTAAAAACTAGATTTTCATATGCCTTTCCAAAGGAGTTTCCTTACAGGATGAATCATGTAAGTATATTATATAAAATTCTGTATTCTGTATTAACTAGCTCTATTCTATATTAGAATAAACTTCATAGACTCTTAGAAATTGTAGTTTCAAATACTATAAAATATGACCATATTTTACATTAAACCTCAGTAACCTCTCTTTTTTTTTTTTGGTAATACTTAACAGTAGTGGTTATTACTCTCAAATGCCAGTTAAATCACCTTAGAAAGTTTTCGTTGTTTTTTTGTTGCCTGGGTTGGTTTTTTGAGGCAGGATTTCTCTGTGTAGCCTTGGCTGTCCTTGAACTCTCAAACTCACTCTGTAGACCAGGTTGGCTTCTCCCTCCTGAGTGCTGGGATTTAAGGCATGTGCCACCATACCCAGCTTAAATTTGAAGTTTCTAGCAATTCTAACAGGATTTTTTTTTTAATAGCAAGAATTCTGGGGTTATAGCTCAGTAATAGAGTTAATTTCTTAGCATATTTGAGACTTTGGGTTCAATCCAAGTTACTCCTGTTCCCCAAAAGAAAAATATATGATACTGCCTTTTTCTTGTAAGGATTTAAAGCATATAACAGTAAAATGCAATTTTTTGCCAAGTTCCCAAGTACTGGGAAGGCAGAGGAGGCAAATCTCTGTGACTTTGAGGCCAGCCTGGTCTCAAAAAACAAACGAAACTTGTAATTTTTATTGTGAATGTTATTAATTATATATTACTGCATTTATTTTCTTGATTTAGAAGTTCCATATAAGACTGGTAATTTGCTTAATTTATTTGTACCTATAAGTTAATAATTTAATCCAAGAATATTTACATAATCATGTTTGTTTTCACTGGATGATTTTTTTTAACAGATACTAGAATGTGAATTTTACCTTTTAGAATTAATGGTATGTATATATTTTTTATAATACAGTAAAACAGTGTAATGAATTGTTCTGAAGGGAGGTAAATTTTAAATTTATCAAAATGATATGTGATGACAAATCATAGAAATGTAGTAGCATCATCACCTTATGAGGCCTGTAAAATGATTTGTATATCTGACTTGAGCTTAAAAAAATAGTTTTATTATAACTGTAATAAGGATTGCAAGCAAATAAGTCAGAAAGTTAAACCACTATAAACTGTGTGCAGTGTGTGTGTGTGTGTGTGTGTGCAGAGTTAAAGATAGATTACTCTTGGGCAGAATTCTGCTCCTCCATTGAGGATTATGACTTTACGGACTTGTAAGAGGTATCAGTGTGTTACAGACGTCCCTTTGAGTCTCTAAGGGAAAGATGAATGCTAACTGTCTGCCACCTGATTTACCAAAATATATTCCAGACAGAACACTGCCTTCACTATCATAGTAGCTCAGGGTGATATTTGAACAAGAAATTAAAAAGGAAGGAAGTAGAAGATAGAGAATTTAATTTGAACTACATAGAACAATAAGTTGGAAAATGATATTGTTTTATGTTATAATGAATCTGCTTTTGTACATATATGTATTTTTAAACTGTTTCTAGGATTGTTGCTTGATAGTGTATCATCCTTATAGACCCTTGCTCCAGTATGTGCAGGACATGGGCCAAGAAGACGTGTTGCTTCCCCTTGCATGGTAACTAGAACAGAAGTTACTTATATATAGCTTGTTGCTGGACAGAAGGGTTGACAACTAATTGCATGGTTTAGTATTTTAAAGTACCCCAAGATGTTTTGTATTCAACAGACTATCTGCTTGATAAATATTAATAACTATAGTGGCATAATTATAAGGTCATGCCTATTTTGAGTTACCTATTTGATAAGTATATCATCTGTTAATATTTTGTATGAAAAACAAGACTTCACATGAAAATTAAGAATAAATTTATTTTTAAAATAATACTTTTTGGTTGGTTCAATACAAATCCATTTCAAATTATATCTTTAAGTTTACTTTTTATTTTTCAAAAATATGAAAAAATTTTATTTTACATAATTCGTTGTGAGGTCCCAAAATTGAAAATATACTCGGTAATACATGAATTTTATGTGTAGTAATGTGTATCTCTTTATTGTCACATTCATGCATCTGTTGTTTTGCCTCTGTTTTCATCTTTGTAACTGTTCTTAGTAATAGAACAGAGATGTAAGTGTACAAAGATGGGAAATCTGGCTCTCTCTGGGAGGAGTTACATAGTCACTGCAGTAGTTGTGCTGTTGTTAGTAATATTAAGATTTACATTTCTACAGGAGGATAGTGAATGATACCTACCGGACGGATCTTTGTCTGCTGTATCCTCCTTTCATGATAGCTTTAGGTATGTAAATTTGGAGTACCTTTATTGATTAAACTGTTTTTGCCTATTTAAGTCACCCTAAAATACAATTCGCTTGTTTGTAATTTATGTTTTTATGAAGTAGTAGACTAATCCTTGAATGTGAGCTCTTGATAATATATGCTACACCCCCCTTGTTGGTAATTTTCACCGCTTAATTCATTTAAAATATTTTAGTTGGCACCTAAACAATTTTTTTGTTTGCTGAAAGAGGAAAATTCAGGTTTAAATCTGCTGATATTAGTTGTCTTTAAGTAACTGGTTCTGTTTTCCATTTCTGGATCCAATTACGTGCTCAAGAGCTTAAGGCAAGAAGCGTCTGTGCTCATGTTGCTGGAGTTAGCTGGCGCCCACGGAGTGGAGAAGGCACAGGGCTGGGCTAGAGGTGTCTCTGCAGAAGACTAGGTTTAGACATTGCTTTCTTTACAGTTATTGAAACAATTATCTAATTTTTCTGAGTTTGTGAAGTTGTGGGAGGGATAATAACTTTATAAAGAATTGTCTCAGTAGTTAAGTGAAATGCCCTATAGAGCCCCCAATGTCTGTTATGTCCTTGGCATAATAGTTTCTGCTCTTTTTTCTTTCCATCCGTTGATTTTCATGGCTCCTTTCTTATAACCTCCCCTCTTTTTAAAAATTAATCCAGGTATTTTTTTTGTTTAATTTTTTCTCCATACTTAATTTCACTGGATGGATTTCCCCTCTCTTCAGTTTTTTTTTAACTTTATTATATAGAGTGCTCTGCACATGCACCTGCAGGCCAGAAGAGGGCACCAGATCCTATTATAGATGATTATGAGCCACCATGTGGGTGCTAGGAATTGAACTTAGGACCTCCAGAAGGGAAAAGAGGGTTATTTTAGCTCCCAAGTCCTGGTAATAGTACATCATTGTGGGGAAATAAAGACAGTGGGAACCTGAATCAGTGTTAGTCACAGGACATCTACAGTCGAAAGCAGAGGGAAATGAACGCTACTTATGCTCAGAGCCCTCACTACACTCATACAGGACCCAACCCTAGAGAATGGTGCTGCCTGTTTTTAGGTTATATGTTAGTCGGGGTTCTCTAGAGGAACAGGACTTATGGAGTAAATCTATCTATATACATGGAGGTGGGTATTAGGATGGCTTACAGGCTATAGTCCAGCCAGTCCAACAATGACTATCTACCAACAGATAGTCCAAAAATCCAGGAATTCACAAGGCTGGATATCTTAGTTGGTCTTCAGAATACTCCAGAATCCTGAAGATGTAGGCTGTAATGCCAGAGAAGGAATAGACTGGCAAAGAGTGAGCTATTAGCATTCTTTACCACACAACAGTCTTTTATTTTTTAAGATTTATTTTTATTTTATGGCTGAGTGTTCTGTCTGCATGTACAACTTTATGCCAGAAGAAGGCATCAGATCCCACTGTAGATGGTTGTGAGCCACCACCATGTGGTTGTTGGATATTGAATTTAGGTCCTCTGGAAGAGTAGTCAGTGCTCTTCAGCCCTTAAGACAGTCTTAAAAGCTTGTCCAACCAAACATGACTGTAATGTAAAGGTCAATAAATGCTTAAGTGAAATCTAGCTTTTTAAAATTTAGGTTTTATCCCATGAGTTGGGTTCCATTGGTTGAGAGCTGAAGATAAAGTTCTAGGGAGGGAAAGTCTGGGGTAAGCATTCTGGGGTATGTGGTGTGGTCTTCCTCTATAGATAGCAAAAGGTCACCAGATCATTAATAATATCAACTCCTAGCTTTCTGGATAAAAAGCAGGTATTTTATTTCCTCCTTTGAGGAGACATCCCTGCATGATTAACATTCCTGGTTTCTTCAGCAGTCTGTGGATGAAAGGACTTTTGCACCCCCAACAAATTTTTTAAGGCATAGTAGTGTGTTGGTGAGGTGGAGCGTTATTTTCCATCACTAACGTCTGGGTGTGATCTGACTACTTTGCACTAGTGTTCACAGGTGGTCTTTCCAGTTTACCCTTAAGGCACCCACACTGTGACCAGTGTACAGTGAAGACAGGGGGTCAAGAACTGTCCTGCAACTAGAGATTTTCTTCTGTATCAAGTTGATAAGGGTCTATTAAATGTTGGTGCACAACGTAGTGTGTGTATAATCTCATGTAGTATCTAGACTTTAAAATCTTTATGAAAATCTTTATCTAAGAGTGTGTGCTGTTACGTTTGAACAATTGGTTCTACTTTTCTTTCTAGCTTGCCTACACGTAGCCTGTGTTGTACAACAGAAAGATGCTAGGCAATGGTTTGCGGAACTCTCTGTGGATATGGAGAAGGTACTTTCCTTGTTTTGTATTTGTTTTGTTTTGTTTTTTGGAGACACAGTCTCACGGTACAGCCCTGCTTTGCCTGGAACTCTGGAACTTGCTATGTAGGTCAGACTGGCTCCAGTGCATGGAAATTCACCTGCCTCTCTCTCCCAAGTGCTGGGATTAAGCATGTGCTACCAGGCTCTGCGTGATGTATGTTCTTTATGTACTAATGCATTGCTAGTTTTTGCTACTGAGAGCTTTTGAAATATTTTCTTCTAGATTTTGGAAATAATCAGAGTTATTTTAAAACTATATGAGCAGTGGAAGAATTTTGATGAGAGAAAAGAGATGGCGACTATTCTTAGTAAGATGCCGAAACCAAAACCACCTCCAAACAGGTATATTTTAGACTTAATTACCGATTTGATTTCATTGTATAGTAAACTCAGTTATATTTTTCTTAGATTGTGTTATATCTTTTTCTAAAAACTTACACTAAAATTTCTTGATTTGTGTTTATGTAATTTGTCTTGATAAATTAAGGATGTCTCAGTTTTAAGATAAATTTTCTGTCTAGTAACTTCCTAATGCAATGGAGGTCTATTACAGGTATCCCTCAACATATAGCCACATTCTGTACATAAATGGAACTGAATTAGGCAAGCTTATTTAAAATTCAGAGATAAAATGCTTGAAAATAAGTCTTTCCATTTGGTTCTCTGCCATTCCTCTCCCTTCAGCAATGATTATTTTATACATTTCAGTAACCATTGTCAAAAATTTTGATGATCTGATATACTAAAGATAATCAATTTTGACTTCTAAGTGATCCTATGATCCATATCGCACACAGTTACATATAATTTTGCCATAAATGAACCTCCTCTGCTAAGAAGTTTTTGTTTTAAATTAATCTGTTTACTTGAGTGGCTCTCTGCCCTCACTGTGTGTCAGATCATTGGAGGAAGAGAAACAGGTGAGAAGGAAAGGCAATTCTGTAAGCTTAGTTGTTACTTAAATGTTTCTATGACACTGAGACGCATTATAGACTGCTGCTGGTTACAGTGATGTTACAGTTGAGAAGAAAGTGATGCTTAAGTGTTATGAGGAGCTGCTTAAGGCAGTCACTCAAACAGCTACCTTTGGATGCATTTTTTACAGAAGTTCCCTGAGTGATTCTCCACTAATGGCAGGGCCTGAAGCTGCAAGATGATGATGGACAAGATAAGGCAATCTCCTATTGTCACAGTTACTGGTATTTTCAGCTTTAGTTCTTTTTATTTTTATTTTAATAGTCAACATTTTTCTAGGAAATTACCATATTTTTGATGTATAAAAGTTTGTTGTCTTTGCCATATGATTTTATTATGTCATTGGACAGCAGGTTGTTGTTGGTTTTTTGGTTTTGGTTTTTTGTTTTTTGTTTTTTTTTTAAACACTTTGGATTTTCCTAAATAGTAAAAGTAGAGTTTTACATGTCAGATTTAATTTTGTAGGAAATTTGTCCAGAAGTTGTAATCTCTATGTTGAGTGATACCTGTAATAATAGTGAAATCTCAAATGCTAACTTACGTCTTTGAGTGTATATGGACACTGACTTCCAGACTGCTTGTTGTGTGTGCGGGCCCAAAGTTACAGAAGAATAAAAACATGAGACCAAATGCTAGTTTGCTGGGTTTTAATTTTTCTGCAACTGTGTCTTATAATACAGGAATGTCTTTGTTTTGTAGAATTGTGCCACAGAATAATAAACTTCAGAAACTAGTAGTACTACCAGGTGTTGAAAATGAATCTTTTAATTGGCATAAAATTTCTTTCTTCCCTGTTTGAACAGTGAAGGAGAGCAGGGTCCAAATGGAAGTCAGAACTCTAGCTACAGCCAATCTTAGAACACCCGGAGGAATCCTGTAGTGGACCACTTGGAAGTAAAGCATGGAACAGTTTGAGTAAGGTCTTCACTGGAAATCAGATGCAAGCTATTGGGAATTCACTTAATTTTCACAAAATAAGTTTTTCTTACTTAATTTGATTCTAGTGTATAATTTATTCAATCTTAATTACAAAATTTTGTAAAGCTATAAGGGGACCTATTTATACATACACAGACATTTCAAAGTTAACTTCTGTCTCACACAAATATAATAGCTTTTTCTTTTAATTAAGGCAGGAAACATAAAGTGTCATTTGTTTAAAATTTTCTTTGGACATTGAGGGACCAAAAAAGGACATGAAAAGTCAACAAGAGCTCCCTATCCTCCCCAGTTAAATTTTAAAACTTTTTTTGTTTGGTTGGGTTTTTGTTTGGTTTGGTTTTTTTGAGACAGGGTTTCTCTGTAGCTTTGGAGCCTATCCTGGAACTCACTCTGTAGACCAGGCTGACCTCTAACTCAAGGAGATCCACCAGTCCCTGTCTCTGCCTCCCGAGTGCTGGGATTAAAGGCATGCACCACTACTGCCCAGCAAATTTTAAAAGTTTTTTAAGAAATTAAATCTTAGGAAAACCTGGGAATGTTTTGAGAATTATATTTATAATTTGAGGGAGATTAATCAAGAATTTAACTGATTTTTTAAAATGTATTTTATTCAGTACTTTTTATATCATCACAAAAGATACTAGCCCAGCCTGTTAGAAAAGTGCAATATATGTGACCTACTTTGACATTTTAAAGGTTATATTGACTTATTAGCTGTTTTGAAATGCTTGGAAACCTGAAAGAAAAATTATTTGCAATTAATTCACAGTTAATAAACATTTTAAAAGTTTAGTAATGTTAATCTTTAATCTGTCCTGAGAATTTTTTATGAGATGCATACACCCCAGTCTAATTTTGTGTTTTAGTGTGAGCCGACAGATGTGCAGCAAGTATTCTGAGTCAAGAACCTAGTCGGGTTTTAGGCCAGTGTGATACTGGCTATTCTTAATTTTCATGAGTATAGACTTGAGAACAAATGTTACATCTGTGAGATTGGTATCTCTGGAACTTCATAAATTACTCTTTTTTCAGACTTGAAGGAAGAATGACAAATAAAATTTGGAATAATGGGGAGTATGTAGTCTTGCACATTTAAAAAATAAATCATGAAATAAACTACTAAGCATTGACTTCCTAGATAAATTGGAAGAATAAAAGTTAAGTTTTTCAGCTATATTTACTAGTGTCTTAAATTCATCTTGTTTACTTTGACATTAGTTTTCTGAGAATCTTTCTGCATGCTAAATTACAGCCCCTCTCCCCAGCTTTGTAAAGGGATGATTCCATATGGTTTATAATTAGATTGTAAGGAAAGTCTTGATTCCTTATGGAAAGTATCAAATGAGCTAGAAAGGAGACAATATATTACTACCAATATGGGCCCTCCTAAGATTGTGTAAGGATAAGAAACAAGAAAACAAGCTCTTGCCAAGTCTTAAGGAGTTACTCGGAGCGTAGCTTGTGCTTGGTGACTGCTCATCACAGTCATTAACTGTGTTTTGTCTTCAAGCTTTTTTTTTCCAGGTTATTTTTTCAGTCAGATCTTTCTGCTTCGTGGTTTTCTTTGCAATCTCTTATTGTAGAAAATTGAAAATTTACAAGAGCAGCCAAAGCAGAACAAAAAACCTCCGTGTGTGTATGCTCTAGCTTCAACAATCGCTGGTTCATAGCCAATTTCCTCTTGCCTCAAATTCCACACCAGTCTCCAGTTTGCATATTATTTTGAAGACAATTTCAGATTTATTATTTCATCTGTAAATATTTCAGTATGTACTCTGAGAAGTAATGGATCCTTAAAACACTATAAAAGTAAAAGTGCTTTTATAGTTTTCTACAGTTTTTTTGTACTTTACTTAAAAGTTAATAAAAATAATTATCAAATGTTACATTAAAAGTTTCAGTTCCCTTGAAGTTGCAGAACATTCTATATATTCATTTATAAATCCTATTAGTTTTAGATTCATGAATTCTTTCTCCATGTTTTTAAAAAATATTTCCTGTTTTCATTTGTACATCTATGAAGTTTCCCATAGCCTAAATTTTGCTGTGGGCATCTTTAGCATGCCAATTAGTGTGGTTTTTCCCCCTTTGTATTTCTGTAAATTGGTAATTGAACATGAAGACTGATCACATTGAGATCATTTTGTTTTTGCTAGACTACTATATAAGGTGGCAGTCGCTTCCGTTAGTAAGCACATAGTGGCGTTCTTTATTGTCACCCACTTATGACAAGTATTGTTTTTAGAATAATTACTGTCTTAGGCACACTGTCCAGTACCGTAGCCAGCAGCCCCTTAGGGTTGAATGGTTACCATGTGGCTTGTCTGAATGCAGATATGCTGTAATGTGCAAACATGTTGGATTTCAGGTACTTACTACAAAAGCAAAAGAATGTTAAAATTTCAATTTGTTTATAACCATTATGTGTTTTAACTGATAATATTTTGGAGATACAGAATTAAATAAAGCATTATCAAAATTAGTTTTTCTTGTTTCTTTTTAATTTTTTAAATGTAGGAACACTTAAAATCTCAGAATGGCTTGCATTGGACAGTGCTGCTACCAGATAATAATGAAAATGTTAAACTCTTCTCATCCCATGGACCTCATTCCCATTTCCTGCTTTTCCTTTTAACTTTTAATCATTTCTCTGCTATTTACTTCAGAATTTCCAATTATCGTGCTCTTAATATTATTGTTAATTTGAACACTTACTATATGTCAGATGTGCGTCATGTGCTGAGTTTGAGCTAGTTCTCAGAGTAGGTTTATTCCACAGATGAAAACTCATTCAGTGATAGTTGAAGTAAGCAACAGCTCAGATACAGATTCTAATCCATAAAACCTGGTGTCTGTACTCCAGATACGTTACCATGTCCAACCAGTTCTGCTTACCCTCCCCCTTTTATCTGTTTATTTATGTATTTTTATTTTCAATTGTAAATATTGCCCTACTATGGAAGGTGAAAGGTCTTGCTTTCTGGCACATTTCCCCTTCACTCCTACAGTGGACTTCTGTTATTTAGTTGTACAGTTTGAGCTGGCCCACACCTTTAGGACTAGCAACTTAGGGTATGGAGGTAGGAGATCAGAAGTTCAAATCTGCTAGGTTGGTTTCTTAGCACCCACATGGCCAGTCTGTAACTCCAGTTCCAGGGGATCTAATGCCCTCTTCCGGCCTCTACAGGGGCCAGTTATGCAAGTGATGCATGACATGCATGCAGGCAAAATACTGTGCAAATTAGCATAATAATTCAAAAGTAGTTTTAAAAATAATGCAGTAATTATTGTTGGAGAGATGGCTCAGAGGTCTAAGAACATTTGCTGCTCTTGCAGAGAGCCCGGTTCAATTGCCAGCATCCTCGTGGCAGCTTACAACCATCAGTAACAACAGTTCCAGGAGATCTGACTCCCTTTTCTGGCATCTGTGGGCACTGCACACATTTGGTGAACCACCAAATGCAGAAAGAAGTCATAAAACTATACACATAAAAACATATAAATCAATTTTTAGATATAAAACTTCAATAGACTAGATTTGAACCTTTTTCCATTAAGTGTTATGACACATACATGGTAAATAGCAAAAGAATACATTCTCACAGAGTCAAAGAGGCCCCATGGAAATCATGAAGTGGCTGATGAAGATAAGAATGAAGGGACGCTGAAGCATTTGGTTAATATAGAATTTGGTCAATTAATGCCACGTTTTCTATGGTTACCTCTGTTCCCTTGTGATCTACTTAAAAAGTGATCTCCCATGATTGAGGTAAAACAACTACTTTTGAAAATTAAGGCATCAAATCATGTTGTATCTTTACATTTCGAGACCTCTGACACCATAATAGTAATAGTTTTAATAACAGGCTAGAGTTGGGAGTACAGGCCCTTTAGCACTTGATAGACTGGGGTAAAAGGATGCTGGGTTTGAGGATGCCCTGAACCATGTAGGGAGACCGACTCAGAAACGAAAGCTTCAGACTCATCTTTTTTTAACTGTGGCCAAGTGCAGACAGTTATGTAAAGGGGGTATTGGGTGCTGGTAGTGGTCATCTCGGGTATTGCTGACTCGACTCATTCCATGGAACAGATGAAGATTACAGACTAAGAAGCTTCCCAATTGAGACTTAAGGCATCTAAGATTGTCTTTACCAGAACATGGTTCCCAGAATAGTACTGGGACTGTCTTGTATCTCATACCTAGGCCTGTTTGTTTATGTTCCAAAAGAACTTGTTGGAACTTGCTGAGGTCCTAGGATGATGCAGTGAGAACGTAGCTGACAAAATCACAAAACTAACCCACCAGGATCACATATTCCGATGGAGGAGGCTGACACACAAGGCAATGGGAGGATTTGCTTTGTGAATAGCTGCTGCCTTGCTGTAAGTTCCCCTTGAAACCATAGTGCTCCCCTTTCTATGATGGGATTCATCCCGAAAACCCCAGCAGGGTATTCATCAATTACTGGGCACAATTCCTCCTATGCATTGGTGTATTGGATGACTCCTCTCAGCTGTGCGTGATTCTGGTAAGAAAGTTATCAGTCAGTTAGCCTTATTCTCTCAACCAGTTTTTTGTTTTGTTTTGTTTTTTAAAATAAACTTAGAAGTCTGCCCTCCTGCAATTATCTTGCAAAGAGACCTCATTTGAGACATTCACCCACGGACAAGAATTAGGACTTATCTAAAGTTGTTGAGCCATAGATCTCAGAGAACAAGAGTGTCCTGGATTCCCTCTGCCAGCAGATAGGAAAGCAAGCCTATTCTTTGCTTGCCAGTCTGTTAGCTAAAGACCCAAGTCTCAGCTTATCTCACTGTGCTGCTGCCCTCTGGTCACAGTCTCACTTCTGTAACCTTGGACCCTGGTGTTGCCGTGGTAATGGCCCTGGCCTTACCACACTGAAAAGCTAACTCTAACTCTTGCTTCAAAGCCTCTGAGGAAAGAGATTTTGAGAGGCGAGATTAAAGAGGTAGTAGCTGGCGGAAATTAGAAACGTAAAAGGATAAGAGTGTAGGAAAAGAAGAAAAAAGCAGGGAGGGATTAGAAGTAGGACAGGATTGTTAGGGTAAACACAGAACAACAAAGAGCATGACCCTCAGATTGTGTGTGAAGTTAAAGAGATCTTTTACCCCCTCCGCTCCTGAGAAGCGTTTTATCTTTGGAACCCTAGGTAGGGACTGGAGCAGGACTCAGCCCTTACAGGAACTTGGCTAGAAGGGTGATATATGTTACCAGCAGTTAGTTTGAAGAGCAAGTTACTTCAATGGATATGCCGCTATACAAGGCATCTCAGGAGCCATTCCCTAAGGGCTAAGGATAATAACTTAAGTCCCATTTATTCTTTACACTTTTCTGACAGACTGGGAATGCCAGGCACAGTGGAGTTTAAATTGTATCCCCAAGTCCCAGGAAAACTCCTTGGGTAACTTCTGCCTTGAAGTCTGGTCTATTGTAACTCTGTATGGTCTTAGATATCCCAAGCTTAGGTTTTTCTTTTTCCGTTTAGAAGAGTTATCACTTCCTGTGGGTTTCCATCTGAACAAGGAATTGGCTTTAACTCATCCAAAGTGTGTACTCACACTGTAGGAGATGGGTCCTTGTCTCCCTGGTATGTAGGTAAAATCTGCCAATCCTCTTGGGTATTTTTTTTGCCTTTGCCAGGGAGAGGTGAGTCATTTCCTGGGAATTCGCATTTTGGCAGGTCCGCATATTTCACCTATGTGAGCCAAGACTCTCAGTAGCTCATTCCCTAAGAATATCTTTCTGGTTAACAGTCTCAGGGTTTCTATTGCTGTTAAGAGACACTTTGACCATGAAAATTTTTAGTTTTTTGAGTCAGGGTTTCTCTATATCTTTGGAGTCTGTCCTGGAACTAGCTCTTGTAGGCCAGGCTGGCCTTGAACTCACAGAGATCTGCCTGCCTCTGCCTCCTAAGTGCTGGAATTAAAGGCATGCACCACCACTGCCTAGCTGACTATGACAACTCCTACAAAGAAAACATTTAATTGTGGTGGCTTGCTTACAGTTCAGCGGTTCAGTCTGTTATCATTGTGGTGGGAGCATGGCAGCATGCAGGCAGACATGGTGCTGGATATACCTTGATCAGAAGGCAAAAGGAAGTGGACTTTGTACACTGAAGAAAGCTTGAGCAAAAGAACTCAAAGCCCATCCCCCACAGTGACAAACTTTCTCCGACAAGACCACACCTACTTCAACAAGGTCACACCCCCCAGTAGTGCCACTCGCTATGAGGTTAGGGGGGCCAATTACATTCAAACCACCACACTGACAGAATGGAAGTTTCCCTTCACTAGTGATATATTTGGTGAAGGGAACTTTCGAATTGTCTATTGTGTTGATCTAGACAACCATAAACAATGATTGGTGGCAGACCACCATTTGTGGTGACCCAGGCTGTAGCTGTTTTCCTGGGCTTCCTCTATGTCCAATGGAGTGCGATGTATCAGCAGAAGTAGGAAGTAGTCCCTGAAGAGGGAAAACCTGTCGTCTGCATAACAAATAAATAAATCTTAAAAAAAAAAAAAAGAAAACACAAGATTACGGTACAATTATGCCAGCACACTAACAAGCGTATAATTTAACATTCTAAAGACATACATGCACTCTAGAAGGAGTCAAAATGGTATAAATATTTGTTTTTAATTAGTTGTCAAATTGAGGTATATTTCTTGTAAAATCATGTCTTTGTGTTTGCTTTGATGGGGTTTGGCACGCATACTCCTGACATTTCAGTCATACCATAGACGATCTCTACTATCCTACAAAATTTCCTGACCTCTTTCTTCCAGGTTCGTTTGCCTTCCACAGTCACAATCCGTGCAACTTTTATCCTCACATTGACCTTAAGTTTTAAAATTAGTTACATTGTTTGTATTTTGACCACATGTTGTCCTGAGTCTTCAGATGCTGTGAATGTGTTTTCCTGTTCAGAGTTTCCTTCTCTGGACCCCAGATCCTTTTCTTTTCTTTTTTTGTAACAGAGTATCAAATTTATAGCCTGGCCTCAAATTTACAGCACTTCTTCCCATCTCAATCTACTGAGTATTGGAACTACAAGTATGGGCCAAAAACCGATGCCTAGTTATTGTTTAAGATCGGGACTGCTTGTTAACACGCATGCTTATAGCATGACTGCACATGATTAAGTAATACAAGCTACCTGATCCTTTGGAATACCGAATACTTAAAAATTAATTGTAGAATCTGTATATTTCAATGGCAATTCATATTATCTCAGTTCTCAGTAGACTCTGAAAATATTCAAGGGAGCAGTATCTTCGGTTCACAGAGGAGGAAAACAATTGCCAAGCATATCTTTTGGTGCCAAGACTGGAGATTTCTTTTGCTTCATCCACTATCCTTGGATGTATGAACACAGGACAGAATGTCTTATTCCAGAATTCAATTTTCTTGTTTCTTCTCGGTAACTTCATAGGTTACCCATTCCTTCCATCCTCCAGCATAGTGTTGAACACTAAAAACATACACAACAGTGTTATATTTCATAGCAGAAGATTGGGAGGAACTTTGCAATAGCTACTCACCTTACTATCTAGTTCTATACTGCTTTTAAAAATTATTGGTTTTTTAGTAGGTTGGAAAGACACATGCCATTTGTCTTTATACTGCTTTTATTAACATTTTTTGTTGTTGTTGTTTTACCCCTGTGGTAGTAGGGATTAAATCCAGGGACTTGGGCATGTGAGGAACATGGTTTACCACTGAATTCTATTACCAGCTCCAAGACACTCTTTTTTTTTTCTGAAACAAATACCATGTAGCTCTGATTGACTTTGAATTTTTGTTAATATGTGTATAGGTGTTTTGTCTGCCTATGTGTCTGTACACCACATGCATGCCTAGTGCCCAAAGGGGACAGACGAGGGCATCAGATCTCCTGGAACTGAAATTACAGACAGCTGTGAGGTGCCATGTGGGTGCTAAGCATCAAGCCTGGATCCTCTGGAATTACAGACAGTGCTCTTAACTTCTGAGAAATCTCTCCAGCCCTGTCCCCTCCCCAAGAGATTCTTAAGTAGTCTAACAGATGTTTATTTTTATTTTTGTTATACCAGGGATTGCATCCAGGGCTTTCCACATCCTAGGCAATTATACTGCCACTGGGCAAATAGCCCCAGCATCCCAGATGTCTGTGTAATATTGCGATCCAGTGCTCAATCTAGTTTTTCCTTCATTCACACACCTGTTAAAGCCCAGGGATATTGCTGTGTCCATAGCCTTCTTACTTCTCACTCCAGCAAAACAAGAAAACACCAGACTGTCGGATTTGGATGGCTTCACTTCGTGGTACTTCTCTTTGAAATCCCTGGAGCTCATCTGAAGAGCTTCCCCCACCTCGTCCACTGGAAGAAAGTGGTGACATGTTTAATTAAGTTTGGGATACGAGCAGTCATTAAGCATATGAATGGATCTGTTTAAAACATACAGCACTTACATGGTATGTTGATTGATCCAGGTATTTTTCCATGCTCAAGAATTTCCCACGTATCTCTAACATCAATTAACATAATGCTTTTGGAGTTCAGCAGGTTTTTTAGTTCCCTATACGTGACACCCTTAGGAAGAGAAGAGCAAAAACGTTGACTGCTTCCCCATATTGACTTCAAGCCTATAAAAAAAAATTCAGACTTAAGTGACATTGGTATTAACAGCTATAAGTAGGTTCTAGTTAGATGACATAACTGAGTTCACCTTTTTACTTTAATAAAAAAGTATTTTTTATTACTTATACAGAGTCTGCATTCATACTCTGTTCCTGGTTCCTGACCTGGAAGTACATAGAACTTCTGAGAGTGGGTGGAGAAGATACTTTTGTTTGAATGAGGTTGGCTCTGGTGCCCTAGAAGCTTCGGGGTAGCACTGATCGCCCAAAAGACTAAGCCGTGAGAACAACTTGGATCTTTCATGCCTGGTCTTCTGTGCAGTGGAGCAAGGCTAGAAGATTGAATTAGCAGTCAACAGTGTCTTCGTTATGACGCTTCCATTGAAATTTTTCATCTATGGGGCTTGGAGATTTACTGGGTTAACACATCCATGCACTAGGAACATGCCACACCTCAGTTCCATGAAGAGGGAAACACTCGCACTTAAGATTCTTCTAGATCTCATACCATGACTTCTTCAGCAGGTTCTCCATCTCCATCTGTATTCTTTAATAAATCATTGACAATAAACTGATAGAAGTGCTTAACTGAGTTCCGTTAGTGAATTACTGACAATGGGGAAGGGGTCATGGGAAGTTTTGATTTATATTCCGTTGGTCAGAAATGTGGGAAGCATGAACTTGGGAGTGGTGTCTAAAGTTGGCACAGTTTTGTCAGGAAATCCTTCTGGTGTCTTCAGTAACTCTAGGTAGTTAGTTCAGAATTAAATTTAAAGACTCAAATAAAGAATTAGCTTGGTGTAGAAAAACTATACCCTTGGTGTCAGAAGCTATTTGTGAGGAGAGGCAGCTCAGTAGTAAGGTGATTGCTTCTAATGTGAGGTCCCTGGCTCAGCCCTAACATACCTGAGAAGAGAAAGGGGTTGTGAGCAGAGCACAGAAAAACGTTTGCCAGTGTGCACACATTCTGACTGAGCAACACGATGCGGCCTGCCAGCTTGCTCTGCGTGCTTCATAGTTGGCCTTCAGCCACTTTGTATTCTCTCAAAACCCTTTAGCTAGCAAGAAATTTGAAACATAGCAAACATCTAATAATTGTTATGGGTATAATTTGTTAATCCCACTTGGAACACAAATGACAATATGAGAAAAAATTTAACTTCATTTCCTTTTGCAAATAAGGATAGGAACTTGCATTTCATAGGGTTTCTGCTGTTGTGATAAAACACCTTGGCCAAAAGTAACTTGGGGAAGAAAGGGTTTGTTTCACCTTATAGCTCCTAAGTTCATCACTGAGGGAAGCTAGGGGCATGAACCCAGGGCAGGAATCTGAAGGCAGTTACTGAACAGAAGCCATGGAGGATTGCTGCATATTGTCTTGTTCTCCATGGCTTGCTCAGCCTGCTTGCTTATCACCCCATTTTCCTGCCCAGAGTGGCACACCTACAGTGGCTTGGTCCCTCCCACATAAACCTTTAATAAAGATTTGTCCCTGCTGGATATGGTGGTGCACACCTTTAAGCCCAGCATTTGGAAGGTAGAGGCAGATGGATCTCTGTGAGTTTAAGGCCAGCCTGGTCTACAAAGCAAGTTCCAGGATAGCCAGGGCTACGTAGAGAAACCCTGTCTCAAAAAACAAAAACCAAAAAGGTGTGTGTATGGGGGTATAAGTGTTAAAACTTTGCATCAAACCAGTGAAGCTTAAAAATATTGCTAATACCAAATATTGGCGAAGGTCTGAGGAAATGGATTTTCTCACACATTGCCATTAAGAACTCTTAAAGGGGGCTAGAGTGGTTACCCCTGTCTCGAAAAACCAAAAATCCAAAACAAAACAAAACACAAAAAGAGCACTTACTGAGGGCCTGAGTTTGATTCCAAGATTTGAGGGTGACTCACAACAGTCTGTAACTTTAATTCTGAGGAATCCGGGACCACCTTTTCCCCCTCTTCAGGCACCAGGCATGTAAGTGAGACATACATACATGTGGACAAATTGCCCATACATATAAAATTATATATATATATATATATATATATATATATATATATATATATATATAGTTTTGTTTCGTTTTGTTTAAGACAAGATCTCTCGACATAGCCCTGCATGTCTTGGAAATCACTATGTAGTGATTTCCAGGCTGGCCTCGAACTCACAGAGATCTGCCTGCCTCAGCCTCCCAAGTGCTGAGCCTACAGTTTTAAATAGAGCTTTTGAAGGAAATTAGCTGTAATAACATTTTAAGTTTGTATATTCTTTTTTCCTCATGGCTCTACTTTTAGGAATCTGTTCTACAGGATCACATGTGGGGATGACATTACAGCCTTGATGAGAAGTCAGTTCTTCCACCTTTTCTTGGGTTCCAGGATCAAAGTTAGGTCACCAGCCTTGGGTGGCAAGCACCTTTACCCACTAAGCCATCTTGTCAGCCCCAAGATATTTAAAACAATTTTATTTATTTAACTTTTAAGGTGCTTTCTCCCTGTGTATGTGTCTAGCATATGTGTGCAGAGGTCACATGTATCTATTCCCAGAATCTGGAGTTGGAAGCACTTGTGAGCCTCCTGACATTGGCGATGGGAACTGAACTCAGTGCTCTTAACCACTGAGCCATCTCTCCAGTCAAGGTTTATTTTTCTATGGATCTGTGTGTATATGTGAGGAGGTTTTCACAGGTACCCTTGGATGTCAGAGGAAGGTGTCAGGTCCCTTAGAGCTGGAATTACCTGTGGTTGGTAGGTGCCCCAAGTGGATGCTGGGAGCTAAACTTAGGACTTCTTCAGGAGCACTATGAACTCTTAGCCACTGGACCATCTCTCCAGCCCTCAGAATTATATTTTTTTAACTTTTTTTAAAATTTATTTATTTAGTATATATACACTTGCCAAAAGACAGCACCAGATCTCATTACAGATGACTGTGAGCCACCACATGGTTGCTGGGAATTGAACTCAGGACCTCTGGAAGAGCAGTCAGTGCTCTTAACCTCTGAGTCATCTCTCCAGCTCTCAGAATTATATTTTTAAAAGTTTGGAATCAACCTATTCAAATTAGAAACAGCAGGCTAAATCCATACATTTTCTATGTGTTATGGTAAGAAACTAGAAGACTATGTAATTTCATAAATTATGTTAAGCTTGGTTCTAACACTGCTTACCAACATGGAAAATGTACCCACAGCAAGCAACTCTTGAAACTGGATCAAAGATAATTTTTTCTTGTAATCATCAGACTGACTTAACTTCCTATAATTCAGCTATACTCTCTTGTGAGGTAGTAGGTAATAAAGAAAGGCTTTCTTGCTCTTCCATTGAGTCGTCAAAGGCTGGTGCAGCAGTGTACTTTCCTTTCGTCTCACCTTCCCCAAGTCTCTTATGGCATGAACCTGCACTACACACTATTTATTTGCATCAAGCGGTAGGTGTTTTGTGTACCCATATCCTCTACTTGTAAATTGACCACTTGGTGTGGTGTTCAACCAAAGAAGCATTCAACAGTTCTGGTAGTGAAGAAGAAGATGACTGAGTCTTAAGTTTTGGAGAATATATATATATATATATATCCATTCTCAAGCCATGAGCCAAAATAAACCCTTTCTGAACTCTCTTTTGTCTGGTATTATGTTCAGCACTGACTGAGAAAATTAATGAATATATGCTGTTGGATTTAAATAATATTAATGTATACACAGTGCAATTAATAATTATTTCTGTTTTCATAATTATACCATACTGCTCCTTCTGAAAGAAATACCTCCCCCTTCATTTTTATGGGGGACACTTACTCTCCTTTCGTATCTATTTAATATTTAATATTCTCGTATCTATTTAATATTAGAAAGTGTGCTTCTAATCCATTCTACTAAAGTACCTGTTTGTGTGCACAGGGTAGATTTCACAATGATTATCAAATAATTTTATAATAAAAATTTGGGACTTAAATTTTTTACAGGTGACTGGTTAGTAAACTGTAGTACATTCCCACTACGGGAAATAGGCAGGCTTTAAAAGCTAAATACCTATGTGAGTCAACATATAGATGTATATACACAATACACACATATGAGACAAACTTTTATCTATGGATAGCCATAGAAAAATTTAAAAGAGCCAATTATTATCCATATCTGAGGAGTGGGATTTGAGTATTTAAAGGAGATCTGTGGCTCTGCTCTTCTTTGGTTTGCTTTATTTTAGTGAGAATATAACTATGCACTATTTGTGTATCTTTTAAAATACGAAAAGTGCCAGGCAGTGATGGCACCTACCTTTAATCCTAGCGCTCAGGAGGCAGAAGAAGGTGGGTCTCTGTGAGTTTGAGGCCAGTCTGGTCTACAAAGAGAGTTCCAGGACAGACACCAAAGCTACAGAGAAAAACCCTGTCTCGAAAACAAACAAAAACAAATACACAAAGGCCCCTTCCTCTAGCAGGGCGCTCAAGTCAAGATTCACTCTGGATTGGGCCGTGTACTTGCATCTCTCTCTATCTCGCCCATGCACGTACAAATGGTGAACTCCTTAGTGAGCTAATCCCCGCCAGGAAGCCTGGCAGATTTGATTACCTACTTTTGCGACAGAAACATAAATGGTAACAATTTGCACAGAAAAGTCCATCTTCAGCAACAAAAGATGTTAAGAAAGGAGCCCATAAACCTGTTTCTTTGGAAGAAAATATTACATTAAAGAAGAGGCTGTTTAAAATAAGAAAATATTAAAATAAAATAAAAGAGGGTAGAGGAGTGCTGGGAAGGAACTGAGCTTTAGACCCAGTGGGGTCAATAGCGACATTCACTTCTGCCTTCTTCCAAATTTACAAAATTAATGAGAGAGGGAGTACTTTCCTAGTTCGACCCCCCCCACACACACCCTCTCTCGCTCGCTCGCTCGCTTTGTGTGTGTGTGTGTGTGTGTGTGTGTGTGTGTGTGTGTGTGTATTTCATGAAAAGATGAGCTCTATCCCCTGGTGGGTCGGGTCACAATGGTAAGTTAAAAGGATGGGTTTATAATTAAGCCTTTCCGGAGCCTTCTTGCTGGCTCCATTCAGTGGCGAAGTGACCTTCATCACTCAAACTTGCATAATTAATTTCCATTATAAATAACCTTGGTGTGCCGTATTTGCTCTGCCGCTGCGTTAATCAGCGCGTCTCCAGGCATGGAATCCGGAGGATCAAAAGGAGCAAAAACGGCAGTGGGCACGACATACCTACGTGCCAAGAGTAGCTAGTGGGCTTCACTTATATTAACTGGAAGTCTAAAGAACTGTGCACGCTCAATGTCATCCCCTCCCTGGCACTCGATATCAGGTGGTTTTTGTTTCTCAGGGATCAATCTCACCGCCAAGCGCAGCCTCCACCGATCCTAGCGCCGCCCTGCGTGAGGTCCCAAGCACCCGCCGGGCCAACATCACCGTGGGCAATCTGGGACCCCGGGTGCTGCTGACCACTTCCTCCTCCTCCTTCCTGGCTTCTCACCCACGGGCGCTGTCCAGGCTCTTGAGCGCCCCGCAGTCAGCACTGACAGATCCGGGTACTGCCACACCGTGAATATTTAACTTTATCCGAAGACGGTCTCTGGTAGTTTTATAGTGTTAGCTTCTTACTACTACACTGACAAATCGCCATATGTTTACTGACTTAAGTCAGCAGAAATTGATTATTTACAATTTTGAAGTTAGCATACTTAAAGAAAATCAACGTGTCCAAAAATATGTGTATTTTTTGAAAACACCAGGGAAGCTTTTTATTTTAATTTCCTTTTACCTGTTTTCGTGTCTCCTCGTGCTGACTCATCCCTTGGCTCCTGGTCTTTATCCATCTTCAGAGCCAGTATCTTAAGCACCGTCACACCTCTCTGGCTGACTTGAACATCTGCTGTAAGTCCTTTCATTTGCCCTCCTCTCTTCTTCCTCTAAGGACCCTTACATTCAGACCACTGAAATAATCCACGCCAGGGTCCCCACTTCCAGAGGGTTAACACGGAATAATATCTGCAAAGTCTCTTTTACCAGGTGTGGCAGTTTGAATAAGAATGGCCCCCATAGGGTCACATATTTGAATGCTTAGGGAGTGGCTTTAGTCTATGTTGCCTTGTTGCAAGAAACGTGTCATGGCGGTGGGCTTTGAGGTTTCATATGCTTACACCAGGCGAGGTGTGTTTCTCTCTTCCTGCTGCCTGCAGATCTGACGGAGAACCCTCGTCTCCTTCTCTACTACCATGTCCGCCTACACACCACCATGCTTCCTGCCATGATGACAATGGACTAAACCTGAATTGAAAACCAGCCCTGATTAAATGTTCTCCTTTAATAGAATTGCCATGGTCATGGTGTCTCTTCACAGCAATAGCACTAAGATGCCAGGTAAGGTAACACATGACAGGTTCCAGGGATTAGAACTTGGGGCATATTTGGGTTGGGTGGGCTAGGACATTTTTTTCCCCACATAAAGCTTCTCATTTTACGTTAACTTTCTCCTCGGTTTAGTTCTCCAAACACCATGAAAGCTACATTGAACTGGAATTTATTCAGCTAGAAATTAACATATTAACTCAAACTGATATTAAATTGCATGCCCAAGGAATAAATTCATTAAATACACATTTTGAGATCAGTACATTTTCTTTTTTTGTCTTTGTTTTGTTTTTTGAAACAGGGTTGCTTTGTGTCCATGGCTGTCCTGGACCTCACTCTGTAGATCAGGCTGGCCTCGAACTCACAGAAATCCGCCTGCCTCTGTCTCCCAAGAACTGGGATTAAAGCATGCTCCTCCATCGCCTGTCTAAAATCAGCCCATTTTAAATAATTTAGTAATTTTTATTGTATGTTAGGTGTGTGTGTAATTGTATATATATGTGGTGTATGCACTAGTTAGGGTGGGTTATGTATGTATGGAGGGCAGAGGTTGATGCTAGGTATCTTTCCTTGGTCATTACACCTTTATTTTTTGAGACAATGTATCTCACTGAACCTGAAGATGACCATTTTGGGGTGAGGACTAGGGAATGGTTTAGCGGTTATTTTTTGCCCACACAGAGAGCCTCAGTTCAATTCCCAACATCCATATGGTGGTTTATAACGATCTATAACTCCTCTGAGTGCACCAAGCAAGCACATGGTGCACAGACATACATGCAAGAAAACACTTGTATATGTAAATTAAATAAATAAATAAAATATATTTTTTAAAAGCGATGAACGGTTAGACTAGGCTGACTGGCCACTGAGTTTCAGATCAGGCTGTCTCTGAACTCCCACCTTAGCACTGGTGTTATAGGAACATAGTGCTTTCTAGATGGTTCTGAGATTGTGAACGCAAGTCTTTATGCCATGTAGCAAGCTCTCCACCCACTGAGTCATCTCCCTAGATCCAGTAATTCATAAACCACATCAGATTCTATACCAGTGACATCATCTGCTACTAGGTGTTTCCTAATCACTGAGAGTTTAAGCTCTTAAATTTCGGGTTTGAGGGGGGCTTGCATGTGTGTGTGTGTGTGTGTGTGTGTGTGTGTGTGTGTGTCTATGTGTATGTGAAGAGCACATATGTGCCACAGTATGTATGTTGGCAGTCAAAGGATGTAGTATGAGGGGGCCGAAGGACAACTTTGTGGAGTCAGTTCTACCTTGGAACTGGGGATCCAGCCCAGGTTTGTCATGTTTAGTGACAGGCACCCTTACCTGCTAGGTCATCTTGCCAGCCCTCTGTAATATACGTGTTTTGTAGATTCACCACATGAGAGGAAACATGTGTGATGGTGGGCTTTAATTGTCAACTTAATGCAACTTAGAATCATCTGTGAAAAGTCTCGGTGTTGGATTGTTTACATTGGGTTGGTTAGTTGGTATGTCTTTGGGGAACTACCTTAACTACAGTAATTGATATAGGAAGACCCAGACCACTGTAAGTGGCACCAATCCCTAAACAGAGGTAGAAGAGTAGAGAAATGGAAGGGCTAAAGTGAGCCGTGAACAAGGACTAGAGTTCAGTTCCTAGCCTCTATGTTGGGAGCTCAATGGCCTTTTCTGACTTTGCAGGCACACCTAGAAACTTGGCACTCACTCTCAAACATACATACACATACATAAAATAAATACTCCATTATTTAAAAGTGGAAAAAATCAAGCTGCACACAAACAAGTGAGCATCCATGTGTTCATTTCTCTCTGCTTGTGACTTGGTGTTTTATTAGAAATAAGTTCAGGGTCCCAAAGAAAGAGACCATTCCAACCTTACTCTTGAAAAAGAGGGTATTCTTGGAAAATTGAACAAAGACAGGAAGCGCCCTTGGTTTTTATCCAACTTTGAATGGGGATTGCATCTCTCTGGAGATGAGACTAAGAGCATATCCGTTAGATAGCAAGGTTGCTAAATTAAAACGGGGTGGGGGGGGTAGGTAGTAAAGAAACCAAACTCGCTACTCCAGGGTGAAAAGGGAAAAGTTTTTTTTTTTTTTCCAAACTGCAAAACTGTCTCCTAGGAAAGCAAGGAAAAGTGACAGGGCAAATATTTTTAGAGTTTAATGGGAATAGGATGATTGTGATCTGGGGCGGGGCTTGAGATCTGGGGCGGGGCTTGTGATCTGGGGCGGGACTTGTGAGCAGGGGCTGAGGGAGCCAAGAGGCTATCATTGACCTTGACAAGTTAATAGGTACCTTTGCAGTCTGTTAATTGAAGAGCCACTTGTTCCTCTTGCCAGAGATGAGAATGACTCCCCTTTTTAGTAAACAAATACTTTCTGCAAGCCGCTGAGGGAATGGTGGCTTTTGTCTAAATGCCAGTTGTGGAAAAAGCAATTTCTTGGCGGACCAGACAGTAGCCATGGGACTTCATTAATTGTAAGAGAAACTTTAATATTCAGTGATTAATTGCATAATTCTTAAATTTCTTTTTATTAAGAAGAGCATCTAAATTTTCATATTTAAATTCAGCCCTTCTCTGTCTAACTGTAAAGTGAGTCTTAAAATATGATATTTTAAAAAGGATCTGATGCAATTTAGTTGTAAACACTTTAGATTTGCTCTTATCTTTTCATCTTCCACTTCAAATTCAATATTAACATACCAAACTTTGTACTTATACAGACAATTTTGACTTTGAAATTATATCACAATGCAAACTGTTTTTCCCCATGCAACATTTTTTTTTTATCCTGGAAGATAATCTCTTAAAAGGCAATCATGCCTCCCCACACCTAGCACCTTAACCTGCATATTTGTATTCCACTGTATTTGTCCAACGCATGGTTTCTATAAACACAATGTAAATGAATAGCTAGCCCCTTCGGCAAGTTTTCCCATAGAAATGGATTAGAATTTTTAAGTTAACCAGCAGTCAGCTTTTGGCTCTTAATTACAATCTTTTAACTTCTAACCCATCACCTTGTCCATTAGGCCACAACTTGTCCTTTGTGAAAGCTTCCAGGACCCATCAACCAGTGCTTGAAACAAAATAATTTCAAACCAACTATTTTTACTCAAAAGCAAAGTGTACATCGCTGTTACAGATGATCGGACTTTGAAGAGTTACGGGTGTGATGTATTGTTTAGTTCAAAAGAGAGAACCACATGAAAAACAATTTCATGTACAGTGAATGTCAGATTTAATTCTTTAGAGTTCCCAGAAGGGTGATGAGACACTGGAGGCCGTCCCAAGCGGTGCTCGGCGAGGCAGGCCTGAAGGACCAGAGCAGCTCACCCAAGCCAGAACCTGAACCTAGGCCTGTGGCTGGCATTGTACCAGCCGGCTGCAGGGGGTCACCCCCTCAGTACACCTACACCTACAGCTACTCTGGTTCGTTCAGCCCTCCTCCCTGCGGGAAGGACAACCGGGATCAGAGCCTAGACTCAAAGCCCCGCCCCTGGCTCCACCCAGGACGCCAGGCCCCGCCTTCTTCGGGTTGCCTGTCGCGCAGGCGCAGAAGCTCCTGTGTGTGGAAAGCTGCGGCCCGGCGGGCGGGGTGAGTCGGGGCCCAGGCTTTGGGGTCACTGCATTCCTTGTGTCTTCGCTGTGTTTTTGCTTGAGCGGCGAGGCTTCCTTGTAGGTGGACCAGCCTAGGAAAATAGGTTTCCCGCGTGCCCTCGCGTCCACATTCGCAGGGGCGCCGGGCGGCTACCCGGCCGAGACTTGGTGGCTGCGGGAAGAGCCGGGGTCGGGGAGGGAGCCAGGCCAAGTAAAGCCTCGCTGCCCCGGGATCTCTTGTCCCCTCGCATTCCACCCTGCTAACTTGGAGTGCACCAGTGGCCTGAGGAAGAGAACCTAGCAATGGCTTTCTGGCAACACCGAATATTAGGTTAGGGTCGTTCCTACCTGAGTCCACTTCTGGCTCCCGGACTTCTGCAAGTCGCTTTACCTACATCCAATTTCAAGTGTCAAATGAGTTTGATGATAGTGATGATAAGAGTAGTTGGGAGAAGGTTCTTGAGTGTTTTGAGCCTGGGTATCTAAAAGGAAGATGTTTACCGTTTCCTCTTCTCATGCTGGAGAACAGCAGCCGAAAACTTAAAAGAACAGGATTTGGACATGGGTTGCTTGTAGCTAGTTAAAAAAGCAAAATATTAAATATTCTAGCTGTACATCCTGTGTTAGACAAAATGCGGGTGTCTGGTACTGTTTAAGTTAAAAACTGAAGCTGATGGTTCGGCCAGTAAAGGTTTTGACTACCAAGCCTGGTGGTGGTTCAGTCTCCAGGACCCACGTGGTGAAAGAGAGCTCTTCAGGGATGCAAAGCAAAACACATGAACACATGTACACGTGCACATCCTCACACACAAAATACATAAATAAATAGATTTTTTAAAAGAAGCTGTAGCATTTAATGTTTAAAAAACGACACGAAAAAACAATAGCCAGAGCATATTCATGATGAAGAGTTAACAATCAGGCCTGAGGCTTCTGTCCTATGTCCGGTCTCCCTGCGACCGTGGCAACCTTGTTTGGCACCTGGACACCTGGAGGTTGGGAGTGTTCTACTGTAGTAGCAAATGTTCTATGCCTAACGTTATATTTTATGCCCAAATTACCAATTACCATACAGATCCCGGGCTTCAGTTATCTCATGGGTTCGTTCCCCTGAGCTCACATTGATAGCTGCTTGTTCCCTGTGAGGAGGACAGGGAGAGAGCTTGTGGAAGTTACGCAAAAGCGCCCCTGCCCCTGCCCATTCTAATTACGGGTATGTTCATTCCGATGCTCTCTGAAATGTCTGTCCATGCGTACAACCTACAACCGTGTGCTGACACCTTTGAATCCTGCTGCTGACACCTCAGCTCCAGACACAGTTTTGACAATGGAAAATTAATAGATGCAGGTTTATAAATTTAAATGTAGAGAGCAGATTTGCCACCTCATTGTGGGGAGATAGGAGAATGGGTCATTCAGGAGATTGAAAGGGGTTGATAGGTAATTTTCCCCAGTTGTACAGAGAGATGTGGTGGATAAAGGGAGGCCCAGTGTGCTGCAGGAGAAAATGACGACTTTGTGTTCATCTAGAACTGACTTTGCTGAAATGGGCGGTGGTAGTGTTGCTTGCCTGAAGTTCAGTGTGACCATGTGATTTTTTTTCTTTAAATGCAGAAAAAATATCCATTTAGGGCCTTTACTGAAGATTCTTTTTGAAATTGTTTTTATTGAGCTATGCATTTTGTTTGCTCCATGTGATTTTCTTGAGTCTGCCAATAGGAGCTCCAGGCAAGGCTTTAAGAACCAGCTCTATGTTAGCATCTTTCCCCTTTCCCCTGTTCTGCTGTAGGAAGCCTTTGCTGAGATGTGTTAGCAAGACGCCTGCATGTACCACCCTCCACACACATACTCTTTTTTTTTTAACTTTATTTAACTTTATTTTATGTGCATTGGTGTGGGGATGTCAGATCTGGAACTTGAGTTACAGAGAGTTGTGAGCTGCCATGTGGGTGCTGGGAATTGAACCTGGGTTCTCTGGAAGGGCAGCCAGAGCTCTTAACCGCTGAGCCATCTCTCCAGCCCCACACACATACTGTTTTAAAAAGTCATATGGGAAAGCAGTATTAAAAAAGACTGAAGAACTGTAACAGATGAAGTACGAAGAATAATGATTGAATCTTCATCCAGAAACCCCCTATAGAATGCACTTGAATCAGAAAAGGAAATTAGAATATGTTAGGATAAAAGACATTAGGAAAATTTTTTCTACGTATGAGAGTGCTGTCATGTAGGAGAATTATTTATTGTATTTTAAAACACTATGTTTAAGTATTTAAGGACAAATTTCTATTATTTCTACAATTTATTTTCAGATACTAATCAAAAATCATCACATATATTTTGTTGGGGATATGGCACAGTGCTTAAGAGAATGTATTACTCTTGAGGAAGACCAGAGCTTGGTTTCCAGCACCCACATTGGGCAGCTCACAATTGCCTGTAACTCCATGCAGGGGATCCGATGCCTTCTTCCCTTTGCAGACACCTGTGTCAACTGCACATACCCATAGGCATACTCATTCTTTAACATTTTTTAAATTGTATGTTTCTACCCGGGTGTAGTGGTGCACACCCTTAAATTCCAGTACTCTGGAGGCTGAGGCAGGAGGATCTCTGAGTTCAGTGCCAGCCGGGTCTACAGAGTTGAATTCCAGGACAGCCAAAGCTACACAGAGAAATCTTGTCTTGAAAAACAAAACAGCAACAGCAAAAACTGTATGTTTCTATACTGATATTTAGATAGAACAACTATAGCAAAATGGTAATACATGTATAATCTAGACTCTGTCTGAGTACTCACTATATGGTTCTTTTTAGCTTTTGTAGATTAAAAATTGTTATAATGAGAACTTGGAGCGAAAATATGGCAGCTTAAAAGTAGGAATTAATCTTTCTGTCAGTAGTCCACTAGGTAGTGCCGCAGATGGGGCTCCTGAGTACTAGGCTTACAGTTTCTCTCCCTGGCCCAGTCTTCCAGCTGCCACTGTCAGCCGAGATGACAGGGTGAGGAAAGAGCCCATTATAAGAAGCTCTGTGTATTTCCTTGATGAAAAATTCCCTCTGACACATCCTGTATGCAGGGATGGTTGAGGGGGGCATGTCTTAGTTCAGGGAAAAAAAAATTACTGTTCACTGAGTGTCTTAACAACAAACATTAGTTAGTGCTGAAGGCTGGCAAGCCCAAAGTGCTGGCAGGTCTGGTCTATCCTTGGTACAGCAAGGGTAGTGTAGGCTTCAATGTTAAGGAGATCTATTTATCTTGGCCTTCTTCTTGCTCCCGCACATAAATGCAAGGTTCACTCTCTCACCTACTCTTGTTCAGGCTCATCTATGAACTGTCACATTGTGGGTGAGATTCCAGCAGTGGGATTCTGAGACACATGGGGAGTAGTTGGAATGTGTGATTTATGTAGTGGCCTTTTTGTGTGTGCTGCAGTCCTGGGACTGGGCCCCAGGGTTTCATGCTTGCTCCACTGCTGAGCTGCACTCTCAGGCCTCTGTATTAATTTAAAGACTTATTTAACCCTATTTGTTTACCTTCTTTGTTTCTCTGTTGATTTATAGGTCAGTTGAGTTTGAATATGCATTAAATACATGAGCATTTCATTTTAAAAATTATTGTTATGTTTCTTTAAACTTTTCAGTAGATAACAGATGCGGGTAAAAGATCCATCAAAAGACTTACCTGAGAAAGGCAAAAGGAATAAGCGACCATTGCTACCTCATGACGAAGATTCTTCTGATGACATTGCTGGTAAATTGTGATCTCTGGTGTCTCAGAGAGAGGGTGGGGTAAAGAAGGAGTAGTAGATACTTCCCAGTCAATAAATTCAGTATTTTATTTTTACCATTTTCTGCATAAACTTGATAGCTAGCTTGTCAAATTCCCCCCAACAAAACCATTACTGGTATTCTTACAAGGATTTTAAGTGATAAGTATATTAAAATTGTTGTACTCTTCTTTGTCTTTTCTCAGGGCTCATTAAAATTAAGTCTCTAAACTACCAGAGGTGGACAGATGGTGAAACTTTGTTTAACTGTATGACTCACTTGGCCCGCCCTCCCCTCATTCCCTTCTTTTCCCCTTCTTTCTCCTTCCTTTTCTTTCCTTTCTGTGGTGATGTGGTTGAAATAGGGCTATATACCTATTTCCCCAGGACCTGCACGTGTTAGCTGAGTCCTCTAGCACTAAGCCACATGCTCAGCCCAGAGTGCTGTTTTTTTCTCTTTCTTTTTCCTTTCTTCCTTTTGAGACAGCCTCTCTGTGTAACCGTTGCTGGCCCAAAACTCAGTTTGTAGACCAGGCTGGCCTTGAATTTAGGAGATCCACCTGCCTCCGCCTCCTGAGTGCTAGCTTCAAAGCCGTGTACCACTGCCTGGCTGGGACTTGTGTTTCTTTTTCCTTTTTTGGCCCAAACTTGTGTTTCTTAAAAATGAACTTGGAATCTTGTTATTTAATAATTTGGAGGAGAGAGAGAGAGTGAGTGTTTTTTTTTTTTTGCTTTATATCACCATTTCCAAATTAGAAGGTTTCCATGTAGAGTTTTTATTAATATTTAAAATATACCAGAGTAAGTATGGCGATACATGCCTTCAGTATCAACATTTAGGAGGCAAAGGCAGACAGATCTCTGAGTTTGAGCCCAGTCAGAGTTATATTACTGGTTTTTACTTATTTAATTTAAAAACTGGAAACTGGTACTGGAGAGATGGCTCAGAAGTTAGGAGCACTGGCTGCTCTTCCAGAGGTTCTGAGTTCAATTCCCAGCAACCACGTGGTGGCTCACAACCATCTACAATGAGATCTGGTGCCCTCTTCTGGCCTGCAGGTGTGCATGCAGGCAGAACACTATATACATATTAAATAAATCTTTAAAAAACCCTGGAAACTGGACTATTATGATTTTATATTTACAAATATTTACCTGACCTATTTATCATCTGGAATTTAGATAATTATATAATTTACAGAAGTCTGAAGGAAATTTACTTAAAAACATAACAATTATTTATGTTTTACCATAAAATAAGTTATCATGAGTCCATCCACTTTTTAAAAAATATACTTATTTTTTGAAAACTATCTTTTCTCATTTTACATATCAATTCTAGTTCCCACTCCTTCCTCTCCTCCCACTCCCTGTGTCTTCATCCACATCCCACCCCCATTCACTCTTAGAGGGTAAGGCTTCCATAGGGAGTCAACAAAGTCTAGCACATCACTCTGAGGCAGGACCAAGCTCCTTCCCCTCGATATCCAGGCTGAGCAAGGTAGCCCTCCAAAGAGAATGGGTTCTCAAAAGCCAGTACAAGTAGTAGGGGTAAATCCTGGTTTCACTGTTGGTGGCCCCACCGTCTGCCCCAGCCATACAACTGTCACCCACATCCAGAGGGCCTAGTTTGGTCCTATGCTGGTTCCCTTGCTGTCAGGTTGGAGTTGGTGGGCTTCCATTTGCTCAGGTAGGCTGTTTCAGTGGGTGTCCCCATCATGGTCTTGACCTCTTTGCTCGTATTCTCACTCCTCCCCCTCTTGGCTGGACTTTGGGAGCTCAGCCCAGTGCTTCGCTGCCATCCGCTTATCTTCTTCTGAGGTTACCAATGGTTTCAATTTTACAGTGAATGGCAGCATCAGAAAAGTTGTGTTATCTGGTCGGAACCCATCCCGTGGATTGTGAATAGAATGACTTCTCACTTCAGAATTCTAAGACTAAAGATCATATAAAGTAATGGCATTTTTGTAAGCTATTGCTCTGGCTGGCTCGTCACTCATCAGCTTTCCCCAAATGTTCCTTCCTTTAATGACACGGGTCCTTGCTATTTGAATGTACATCAGAAATCCTCTTTTGTCTTGTTTTGGTTTTTCTTCTTGAGCCATGGTCTCTAGCCCTGGCTAGCTCAAACTCACTGTGTCGCTGAGGCTAATTCGGAACATCTTAGCTTCCACTTCCCGAGTGCTTAGATTGTGGGCCTGCGCGACCGTACCTCGTTGTAGGGTAGTAGGGTTCAAACCTGGGGCCTGTGCATGCCAGGCAAACATTCCACTGAGCTGCATTCCTACCCTTCCAGAATTAGTCTTTCATGTCTGTTTTTGTGGTTTGCCCTTGATGTAAAATTAGGAGTTTTAGTGCTCTACATATTTCATTGTAAATACCTAGAGAGGAGTGACATCCATGCCTGAATCGAGCTGATGCACAGCTAGCTACACAGCTCACCTTTCTAGTTAATTCCTAGATGGCTGTGGCTTTGTCAATGTAAAATGTAGTTTTGATGTGGATATCTGAGGTAGAGAAATTAACGTGTCCAGGTATTTGAGGACAATGTAAGTATTAACTGGGCCCTTGGGAGGAGAATATAATCATTAGAAGACTTTGTACTTGTACTTTGTTTTAGCCAATTGTCTCTAATACAGTGGAAGCTTTTATAAATGATATTTAGGGACCAGACAAAAAAAATTTATCTTGTGCGAATATTCATAAAAGAAGAATTCTGGAGGCTGGAGAGATGACCCTGATGACAATCTGACCAGATGGCTGGTCAAGAGCACTGGCTGCTCTTCCAGAGGTCCTGGATTCAATTCTCAGCAACCACATAGTGGCTCAGAGCCATTTATAATAGGATCTGATGTCCTACTTTGGCATGCGGGCATACATGCAGACAGAGCATTCATACCTAAAAGAATTCATAAATAAATAATTTTTTTTAAAAAAAGAATTCTGAAGCTGGGTGATGCTGGCTCACGCCTTTAATCCCAGCATTTGGGAGACAGAGGCAGGCAGATCTCTGATTTTGAAGGCACCCTGATCTACAGTTCCAGGAGAGACCTATACAGAGAAACCCTGTCTTGAAACCCCCCCCAAAAAGAGAGAACAAAACAACAACAAAAAATGTGGTTTCTGTAAATTACGTTATCATTTGTTTTTCTTTATCATAACAATGATGAAAATAGCAATATAGAAAAACTAATACATATAAAAGAATTTTATGTATCTTTTTATTTTGCTTACTTATTGGTACTAGCAAAAATGAACCCAGAGCTAAGCGCCAACTCGATCTCTGAGCTAGACTCCTAGTCTAAATATGTGGATATTAGATACACTTTAAGATAATTTTTATTATTTTTATTTATATGTGTGTGTATTTGTCTGTGTCAGTGAATGTCTTATGTGTATGGGTGCCCGTGGAGGCCAGAAAAAAAGCATTGTGTCCCTTAGAACTGGAATTACAGGATGCTGGGAGCTTCCTGATGTGGGTGCTGAACTCCAGTCCTGTGGAAGAGCAGGAACTGCTTAATGAACAGAAAAGACATTCAAGTACTTGATACATTGTAGCTGTTCAGGAAATGGTCTTTTAGAAATACTCTGTTTCCAGAGGGGGTCTCACAATGTATCTCTGGCTGTCATTATGTAGACCAGGCTGACCTCCAGTTCCCAGAGATCTGCCTCCCTCTGCCTCCAGAGTGCTGGAATTAAAGGCGTGGGACACTACACCTGGCTTAGTAAATACTAATCTTAGTTGTGTTTCTGGTTTTGAACTAATTTTAGATTGACATGAAGGCCTAAAGAAATGTACAGAGGTCTGGTTTAACCTTCCCTTGTCCTTTCCCAATGTTAGCATCTGGCACTGCTATAACACAATATCAGAATTGATGCAACCGCCCTTAACTTATTGAGCTAGCACCAGAGTTGCATACACTTTGTCTGTGTGTTGGTGTGTGTGTGCATGCTTGCATTTTTATTGATTGTAGTTTTGTATACGTCAGTAAGCCATGCTTATCACCATCTTGTATGTTACCTGTTTATATTCATACCCGTCTTCACCCGTAGCTCCTAGCAACCACTAATCTCTTCTCTAATTACTCTATTACAAGAATGTTATGTGTGTGCCTTTGTGGAATTATATATCTTTATGAGTTACTTTGTTTTTGAATTCATGCTTTTACTTTAGTATCACTTTAATGATACAGACGTTTGCTTACTGCCCTGGTTTGCTTTCTGTGCCCTGATAAACACTAGGACCAGAAGCAACTTGAGGAGGCGAGGGTTCATTTCAGTTTATAGTTTATAATCTGTCATGAGGGAGGTCAGAGCAGGGACATGGAAGCAGGAACTAAAGCAGAGGCCATGGAGGAACACTGCATACTGGCTTGTTCCCTGTGGCTTGCTCAGCTTGCTTTCCTATACATCTTAGGACCTCCGGCCCAGAGCTGGCATTGCCCATGTGGAGTGGGCATTCTCACATCAATCATTGATCAAGAAAATGCCTACAGATTTGCCTACATTCCAGTCTGGTGGAGGCAGCATCTCAGTTGAGGTTCTATCTTTCCAGATGATTCCAGCTTGTATCAAGATAGTAAACTAAGCAGCACCCTTGCTACTGGCAGTGCTTTGGCCTAGCAGAGAAAACGTTTCATATTGCCCATATCGTTCAGTAGGTTTAACGTGCCAGCACGTCAGTTACGCTGTTAGTGTGAACCATGTGAAGAAGGCAGTGACCGAGAACCTGTGGGCAGTCTGTGCAGAGTGTCTGAAAGAGAGAAGATTCAGTGATGGACAGCCAGTGCTTCCTTCCGATGTCTGGCTGTGCCTCAAGTGTGGTTTTCAGGTAAGAAAGGTGTTATTTATATGTATGCCTTCTATTATTTTTAAAATGCTTACTGTGAGTTGAACATCTGATGACATAGGCCTTAAAATAGATTCATTTCATGTTTATATTGCCAAGATGGACTTAGAAATGTTTAAGATTAAGTAAATATATGCTATGTTTAGAAGACTATCATATGTAGTTCATAAATAGTTTAAAAAGGAATCTAAAACACTTGTTCTTTTTTCTGGACCTTTTTTAAAAAATGCTATATATTGTACTACCATAGAAAATGTCAAAATCAACTTCAAATTGTACATTAAAACATGTTGGACCTTTCCCCCCCTTAAATTTAGGAAATGGATTCAATCTTCTGAATTCCTTTTTCCATTACTTTTTAACTTCTTTTTTATTAACTTACTTTGTGTGTGTGTGTGTGTATGTGCATGTGTATGTGCGTGTGTATGTATGTGTGTGTGCGTGTGTGTATGTGTATGTGTGTGTATGTGCGTGTGTGTTGTGTGTATGTGTATGTGCGTGTGTGTGTATGTGTGTGTGCGTGTGTGTATGTGTGTGTGTGTGCACGTGTATGCATGCCACGACACATCTGTGAATCTCAGAGGACAGCTTACTAGAGTCAGTTCTCCAGTTACCTCCGTGTGTGACCCAGGGGCCAAATTCAGATGGGCAGGATTGGTAGCAGGTACCTTTATTCATTGGTCCACCTCACCATGCCTAATGATAGAATTTTTCACTGAAATAAAAAGTTCTGGAGCACGCCTTTAATCCCTGTAATCAGAAGACAGAGACAGGTAGATCTCTGAGTTCAAGGTCCATAGGACAGCCAGGGCTACACAGAGATACCCTGTCTCAAATAAAATAAAATAAAGTAGCCAGGTGGTGGTGGCACACACCTTTTTTAATTCCAGCATTTGGGAGTCAGAGGCAGACCAGGCGGATCTCTGTGAGTTCGAGACCAGCCTGGTCTACATTGTGAGCTCCAGAACAGCCAGGGCTGTTACACAGAGAAACCTTGTCTCAAAAAACTAATAAGTAAGTAAATAAATAAACAAACAAATAAATACAGATATTTAGTTACTTTAGAGCTAGTGATTAATTCAAGAGAAAGAAACTCTCAAAGTCAAGCCTTCTTCTTTTTCTTTTCTTTTCTTTTCTTTTTTTTTTATTGTATTGTCTCCAGCTTCCTTGCTTCATGTAAGCTCAGGCATTATATGTCACACGGCAGTCTGCTAAACTCATAAGGAAGGAACAGCATATTCCTTTCTTTCTGCAGAGATACAGCAGCTTCCTAGACTCTAATACTCATTAGAGTTTTACCCATTCCATGCAATTCTCATTTCTTTTCTTATCTAGTGAGGGATTTTTACCACAGTGGCCCTGTTTCCATGTTTAGTGGTCTTGGGGTGGAGGAGTGGGGTGGGCACCTCTGGGCTAGCAGGATGCTCAGTGTCCCACAGTATATAATATACAGGATAGCAAATGCATGTATTCCTAAATGACAGAAATAAATCCCCTGTGGTTATTGTAAATAAATACATAATAAACAGTAAGTTATCTACTTTACAAATAATGAAATTTGGTAAAAAATAATTTTATTGCTCTTTGAAACTGTTCCCTATTGTTTGAAACCAAACCTGTGCTTGAGTACAATTTAAGATTTGCTCAGTTTGAAAGAAAGGTATGTGTGAATCATACACGTAACATTTTGTTCATCTTCAGGGATGTAGAAATTCTGAAAGCCAGCACTCACTGAGACACTTCAAGAGCTCTGGGACTGAGTCCCATTGTGTTGTCGTTAACCTGAGTACCTGGATCATATGGTAAGTTAACTTCTGCTAACACTTTATCTGCTAAAAAGTGCTGAGCTTTACAAGGCAAAATAACAATGTATCAATGTATACAAAATGACAATGTATAAGTTTTTTCTCTTGTACACAATCTGTGGGGTAACTTAAGAAAAATAACTTTACTTACAAACATAAAGTTTAAATTAACAAAAAATCTTATCTTTCACATTTTCTTTGTACCATAAAAAAAAGTCTGTCTGGTTGAATTTTTTTGTGAGGAACTAATGCCGAATTCCAGCATTCTAAGAGGAGGAAGGTACTTTAAGCACTCAGGTGGGTCAGGGATTCTCTAACTCTCACAGTGATATTTTTAAAATATTATTGGAGCCAAGTATGATGCTGTTCAACTGTAATCACAGCGCTGGGCAAAAACAGAGAGGTGATTCTGAGTTCCAGGCGAGCCTCCACAGTGGTCTTAACTCCAGTCCCAGGGAATCTGGTGCCCTCTTCTAGTTTGTGGGTACTGTGTGCATATGGTGAACAGACATAGAGTCAGGCAAATACTCACACACAAAAAATAAAAATAAAGGAGACAAAACAAAAAATGAAACCAGGCATGCTAATGCACACATTTAGTGCCAGCATTTGGAAGGCAGGGGCAGGTGGATCTCTCTGAGTTACAGGCTAGCCTAGTCTACATTGCAAGTTCTAGGACAGCAAACACTAAATAGAGAGACCCTCTCTTTGTTGTTGTTTTTTCTTGTTTTTTGAGACAAGATATATCTACATAGTCCTGACTGTTCTGGAACTCAACCAGATTGGCTTCAGCTCACACAGATCTGCTTGCTTCTGCCTTCTGCGTACTGGATACTGCCTCAAACAAACAAACAAACAAAAAGCTGCACCAGTATACCCCCCCCCCACACCACACATGAATTGGTCTATATAACTGCTCTGCCTTAAACCTCGTAACATTCTGTTTCATTGAAGACAAACTGCAAAATTTGATTTGAACAGTGAGGATCTGTGTGAACCTCCCTTGCTTATTTGCCCACCTTCCCCTTTGAGTTCTCTGTTTCTATTCAGTTTAAAGACAGAATTGTTAAGTGCATATCTTATATGTAATGATTGAATGTGCTTTCATGACATTGACTTGCATTTTATATTTTTCAGGTGTTATGAATGTAACGAAAAATTATCGACACAGTGTAACAAAAAGGTTTTGGCTCAGATAGTTGACTTTCTCCAGAAACATGTTTCTAAAACACAAACAGGTAACTTATGCAATTTGCTAAAACAATGTGGATTAAAATATGGCTCACACTTTGCATAGAGAGCTCATAAAGAACACCTTTGACCCCTGCACTCAGGAGGCGGAGGCAGGCAGGTCTCTGTGCACTCAAGGACATCCCAGTCTGCATAGGGTGTTCCAGGCCACCCAGGGCTCTGTATGAAGAACCTACCTCAGATACAAACAAATCACATCTTTGATTTCACTAGACTTTTCTCAGTTGTAGTTTGAGTAAAAATACTATCGTATGTTCTTAGCCAGCAGTCCCATCTTGCTGCCATGTAAGGTGTGTATGTCTAATATGAGAAACAGATGCGTGTAGCTAGCCCAAGCTGTAAAATATAACAGCCCTAGTTTGAAGTTAGTCTCCTGCATGATCAGCTGTGGGCTTCCCCTCCTTTGTTTCCTTATGGTAAAATTAGGGTAAAAATTCTATTTTGAGGAGTGTTGTGAAGCTTGACAGTAATGCTTTGTGAAGATTTAGAAATAATGTTTGTGAAAGTACCGGACTGGCTCCTGACACAGATTTCTGAAACTGCAGTCTACGATGTGTGTAGTGTGATTACAGTGCTGGTGTGCTCCCAGCCACTCAGATGTAGGCCGGACTTCACCGCTCAGGGGTCAAGTTGCCCACCAGTTGACTTGCTGACCCCAATTTTTAAATTTTTAAGGATTTACGTTTATTTGGGCCTGTGAGATGGCTCAGTGGGTAAAGATGCTTTCTGCCAAGACTGATACTTTTGAGTTTAATCTCTGGGACTCCCATGGAGGGAAAAGAGTCAGTGCATTTATGGGTACACATCCCAGGGCACCTGTGTGGAGGCCAGAGGGCAACCTGTGAAAATTGGCTCTCCCTTTTTATTATGTGGATCCTGGGGACCGGGCTATGTCATCAGACATTGCAGCATGTTCTGTTACCCCCTGAGCTACCTTCTTGGTTCTTGAGATGCATTTGAATAAATGAACTACTTGGAATGTAGCACCAGCAACTGAAAGGTTTTATGAAAATATAGTTACGATAAAAATGCTGGCGTTTAATCCCAGGGCCTTGTACAGAATAGGAAAACACTCTACCACTAAGCGATATCCTCAGCCCTTTAGTTGTTGTACGAGACCAAACAAGCAAACAACAACAAAATCCCCATAGTTTCCTAATGTGTTCCAGTATGTGGTTGTCCTTGTTAGCTACCTGTCACTGCAGTGGTGGTTGTGGTAAAACCAGAGGAGGAGGAGGAGATAGAAGCCGAGGCTTCTGGACAGCAAAAGAAATTAACATATTCAACAAGCATTTGCAGGATTCCTACTTTCTCTCAGGTATGCCAGTCATGGCTCAATGTCTGCTGAAACAAGGGACCAGGGCGATGTGGCGAAAGACCTCGAATGCTTCAGCACCTGAACTAGGCCCAAGTGCTGTCTCTTGAGACCTGCACAGTGCATTTGCTCTGTTGGCCGTGAGGGCATGTGCAGTCATTTGATGCCAGCAGGGAAGAGGAAACTATTGTTTTCTGCATTTCTTACCTTAAGTTCCCTAAGGTTAAGGATAAAGCCATTCAGCTGTTCCAATTTCTTGAATACTTAATTGCAGGAAGACTATTAGGAAGAGACTATGTTAGTCTTTCACTGCTGTGACAAAAACCTGAGAGAGCTGGGCAGTGGCGCACACCTTCAATCCCAGCACTCGGGAGGAAGAGGCAGGCGGATCTCTGTGCGTTTGAGGCCAGCCTGGTCTACAGAGAGAGTTGCAGGACAGGCAGAGCTACATAGCGAGACCCTGTCTCGAAACACAAAACAAAACAAAACAAAACCAACAGCAACAACAACAAAACCCTGAGAGAAACAATTTATGGGAAGGATTTATTTTGCTCCCCTATTGTCTTAAGATGTCAGAGGTTTTGTCTATGATCTGCTTGTTCCATTACTATGGACCTATGTTGAGTCAGAACATCACTGTAAGTTTTTTTTTGTTTTGAAGACAGGGTTTCTCTGTGTAGCTTTGGCTGTCCTGGAACTGGTTCTGTAGACCAGGCTGGCCTCGAACTCACAGAGACCCGCCTGCCTCTGCCTCCCGAGTGCTGGGATTAAAGATGGGCGCCACCAAAGCTCCAACACCTGGCTTGTTTTTTGGGTCAGAACATCATTGTAGTATTATGTGTGCCACAGCAAAGTTGTCTGCCTCATGGTGACTGGGCAGCAGAAAGAGGGAGTGAATCAGGAGGAAACAGGGCAAGATACATCCCACAAGGACATGTTCACAGTGACCTACTTCCCTACTAAAATTTCTGTTACGGGCACATCACAAATAGCAACACTAGCGGGTACAAGCCAGGTACTCGAGAGTTCGATGAGAGTTTCATTTGGATTAGTTATTTTTCTGATGTTGTGATAGAATGCCATGACCAAAAGCAGCCTAGGGAAGAAAGAGTTTGTCTTGGCTTATGGTTTCAGAGGGAAAGGAGTCCATCACGGGGCAGGAAGCATTGACACAAGTGGCAAGATTGGGGACCAGAGGGCACATCTTCCACTGCAGAACAAAGTAGAGAGTGAACCGGAAGTGGGGCCGTGCTGTGAGCTCTCAAAGCCTCTCCCCGCTGACATACATCCTCCAATGACTCTGCTTCACTTCCACAGTGCCACTCACTGGAAACAAGTGTTCAAATGTCTGAGCCTGTGTGGGCCGTTCTCCTTCACACCACTGTGGTACTCAGGCCATAGCAGAACATGAGCTCTGAGTCAGGGGCCTGGCATTCAGATCTGTCAGCCACTAGCTGTGTGACCCCATTTTTACCCTTAGCACGTGGTTGCTTTTTCCTGGGCTACTTTAGAGTCCAATGGGTACCAGATCTAATCTGCAGAGGAACTGGGTTGGATTCCCAGCACGTATATGGCAGATCACAACTATCTTGTTACTCTAGTTCCAGGAGAGCTGATGCCCTTCTTTTGGCCTCTGCAGGCACTGCACTCATGTGGTGCACATATATGAAGCAAAGCACTCATACATATTAAAAAAATTAATGACAAATAATTTTTTAGAGGACGATAACAAGACTTTAGTGGGAGTTCTAATTGTGTTCAGAGCCCTCCAGGTCCTCACAGGCAGGTATGTTCATTCGAAAGGAACGCAGTAATGGACAGTCTTGGTTTTCCAGCTGATCTCTCAAAGGATGGATTGTGGCCAGATGCAGAGGAAACAAATCACCTGAGGTGACGGGAGACTAATCCTTAGTTATGTTTCAGGAGCCTTGAGTCACACTTAGGAAATGGGACTTGGAGACAGTTTGAAAGTAAGGAGTCGTTCACAATGAGACAGTTTTGAATCCATGGTTTCCAAAAGTTCCAGCTACGGTGTTTTTCAGTAGATTTGGTTTTGAGTGAGATCCCATGGCTTGTTGGAAGAAATCTGTCATACACCTGTATGAAGTTTCAATGTGTTTTAAGAAAATACTTTGGAAAAGAATGTGAGAATGGCTGTTAAGGAAGAATTTGGAAGAATGGTACCTCTGATCATGCAGTTATTAAGTAATAATTGTAAAGTCTCTATGCCACATCTCATAATTCAAAAGGATATGTGCTTGGGTAGGAGAAAAAGAGTGATATTTTTTGTTTATTTTTAAGATTCTATATTAATTACAACATTTCTCCTTCCAAACCCTCCCTGCTCCCCTTCAAATTCATGGCCACTTTATTTTATGAGTTGTTATTGAATGCATATATATATATATTTGTATATATGAGATATATTCCCAAATACAACCTTTTGAGGCCATATAATGTTACTTGTATGTGTTTTCAGGGCTGACCATTTTGCACTGGACAGCCAGTTGGTGTGCTCTTCCCTGGGGAGGACCTCCTCCTGCTCCCAGAGTTCCTCAGTTCTTGTCATTCTTTGTGTATGATATTAAAAATTATTTTTATAGTTTTGCACTAAGATAATAATCACCAAGAAGAAAGCCAGTACCTGCTCCGCAAGCGCACTTCAGTTATGCAAGGCCTCAACACTTTTATTGTTTGCAACACTTTTATTGTTACTTAGAGAAAATCTAGGCCAGTTCCCCATGCACCTCTAAAGACAAGGAGCTCTTTGAGTCTCAAGATTTTGATGTCACTGCCCGTTTGCACTTTTCAAAAATGCTTGAGACTCAAGCTTGAGGCCTAAGGAGCTTTGGTTATGTAGCTATGTCTGTCAGTCTTCGTTAGAAGTGAAACTAAAAAGTTTGAATGTTCATTGAGAAATATCAATAATTCCATGACAGTTAACATAAATACTATCTTTTAGGAATGATAAATACTTTTCAAAATTAAATGAGTAGTATTGTTTACTCTTTTAGGGGGTGGATTGGCCCTAAAAGCCCTCTGTGCTTTGTTTGTTCTTCCCTTCCTGCAGGTTCTGCCAACTTTATTCATTATTCTACTGTTTCCAGGTGTGTGAGTTCTCTTTCTCTATTAGACAGACTCAATTAGCCCAGGGTAGCCTTGAACTAACAGAGGTCCCTCTGCCTCTGTCTTCCGAGTCCTAGGATTAAGGGTGTGTGTCACCACTGTCGGGCCTGTAGTGGCTCTGATCTTCAGGCAAGCTTTATTTGTTAAAACACAAACAGAATATCACTACAGTTTTGGCTGCCTCTCATATGGCCAGGCAGTAGTGCCTGCTGAAGTAGACAGAACTGAACATAAGCAATTGTTGCTGAAGGATTAACAGAAAACCTTTATTTCTATCCTCTCTCAACCCTGAATGTTAGCATCAAAATTATTTTACTTAACAATGCTTTATTATGTTTGTGTTTCTGGTTTTTGCAAGATGCTATGCATGATGTCCATCTGTTCAAAGTGAAGCAGTGAATGGAAGAAAACCACTTCCCAGTTACTGTCCTAGCCAGTCTGTTGGTATAACGAGAGATGTAAAGAAGTGACTTCTCGTTTGCTTGTTTATGTGGTGCTGTGATTCAGTAAGCTCAGTGGGCTAATGATTTCTGACCTCAACTCAAA